AACGAAGGACCCGGATGGTGTGGTGGTGAAGTGCGCTGCTCCTCGGTAAGGACAACAGTGCGTGTTCGTTCCCCACCGCATACACCTGCGGTCCGGAGTTTTGCAAATATCTCAGCATTACATACGAATTATATTTCGCAACAGACCCTGCCATTGAAAAAAAGGCAATAAGTAAAAGGGTTAAGATCATACTTACTTCGAGATTCGATATTCGGACGGCCCGTCACCACTGGTGGTGTGGGCCACTGCATAACTTCCGCTCACTTCTCTCTTGCGCAGCCGTCGTCCATTGTGTGACCTTTCAATCGTTTGAAACGATCACAGCAGAAAAATAGCGACAAAATATTAATGAAATCCTTTAAAACTTACATGCATCACGAATTGCTCAACAGTCTTCAACCGTCCTACACCTCAGCGTTTGGCCATAGTTGCATAATTAACGCTGCAGATGTTCGACGAGTTTGGCTACGAATGCCTTCCCCACTTGGAATACACTTCAAAGCTCTTAGTAATCAGCTATCACTAATTTCATTCGAGCAGGTTCACAAATGCTTTCGTCAGGAATTTTCGAACAATCAACCCACTGCCAAAAACGCCTTTTAAGAGTTTGCTCCTATAATTCTTCCATTTTCTGAAATTTGAATAAAACCAAAATGCATTACTTTTAATTTATGTATTTTATATTGTATCTTTGTATCTTATGTCAAACTTACGCGACTTATAATGCTAGATTTGAGCCACCTCCCAGCGCTTTAGCGTCTCATCGTGGCTGTGAGGTGTTCCTGGGTGTTGAACTGCAATATACAGCGGGTGGATTCATCCCCATGGCAGGGTCTCCCAAGTTGAGAAAGAGTCCGGCGTTTCCATCAAGAAACGTAGCTAAGAGTAAACGAGTACAAGGATCCACCACCGTATCAAAGTCGCATGGCGGCAAATCTCCCTCTGATCTACAAGGGCTGCGACTACCTGTGGTGATGACGACCTGGGGTGGGACAGACTTTGGCCAGGCTGACCTCAGGATTCCAGAGAACGACAATGACTTAACCAGCAAATCTCCGAAAAATGGAGAATATGCTGGGGTGTCAAGTGTCAAGGTTTGACGCAGGTTACATTCAAAATCCACTACTGATTTTGCACTAGCCTGTAAATCATAGACTTAAAGAACGAGAACGGATTGATAGCCGCAAAAAGAAGAAAGTTCTTAATAAGGAGAATTAGATTATTTGGAGAATATAGTTTGTTCTCTAAGGTTTTTAATATACTTTGTTTTCTGAAGTTCTTCTTCTCCTTTTTTTCACACATTCTTCGTCTGATTTCCAGTCCGGTTTGTATTTCCAAAGCCTTTTCCATAATACTGTAGAATACCACTAGATGCTAGTGCGTTGTTTTCGGTAGGATATTCCGTGTGGATCGACCTCTAGTACTTTTTATTGCTTTGATCAGTGCTTCCCTTTCAGAAGTTCCTTTTTGACGATATACTGACGAAATGTGAATAACTGTTGAACAAATTTTATTTAATGGCTTTTTTTTTACTGACTTTGGATCCACTATATTTTCGAGTACTACCGATATTTAAAGAGCGCGTGTGGCGCAGTGGTTGGGGGCGTCCTGCAACACACACGTGGAATTGATTCCCGCGCCCATGGCCCACCAAGCCTTCCATCTTTTCGGGGTCGGCATATTGGTACCAGAGTTGTTTGGGAGCATGGCAGCAGTAGATCGATACATCGGTAGGCCATCGAGAGTCATTGTAAAGGCCAGATGTGCATTCAATCACCTCCAACGGTACTTAGGAAAGTCGAATGCATGGCGCATCCCTCAGAGATTGATCAACGCCGATAGCTTTACGTAGCAACATGCGCGTGATTGTTTATTCGATTCGGCGTACCAGGCTTATCAAGCTTTCTATCGTTCAGAAGTATGAAAATTGGTGCTAGAAATGTCTTGGTCGGTGCCAGCAGGCCATAACACATCGGTAGGCCACCACAGATTGCTATACAAACCAGATATGCATTGATGCGCTTTTAATAATCCTTGATGAAATGGAACGCGCGACGCTTCCCCTAAGGGATTGATCTACGCGGAAACCTTCAGCCTTCATCTTTGCCAGTTTTTTCTGTTGTTTTTATTTAATATATGGCCGAACATAATATGTAACACATTATATGGATCCCAGTACTTCGTGCATTTAATTCTTTTCCTCGTATCCTCCATCCGCGAAGGTCTACGAATTTTCTTTTGCGTGCATGGCTGTGTTTGCTGCTTAAGGATTTTCGTCTTCTTCACGAATCTCGTGGAATGCTGGTCCAGTCGAATCTCCTTGGACTCCTGAGACAGCCCTGCTGGTGCGTTTTTGGGATGTTTTACAAGGACCAAGCTTTTACCAGACAATTTTGGTATCAATTTACCTATCTCGGAGGAATGACAGGCTTTGTAGGCCCATAGCGGATTCGAACCAGGGTCAGGGTAGGTTTAGCCGTTCGCGTAATGAGCGGTGCCACCACCGTTTCGCTATCCGCTCCCTCCAATAATTTTCGGTAATCATTAAATAATCGAAATCTTCATAACCTATAGCATGCTCATCTACCGATTTCTCCACGATTTCTCGCAAGCTGTGAATGGTCAGTAGATTATTGATTAATTGTATCCTCTATCCGGGCGCCTGAAACGATCGGGGAGTTCCTGGCCACTTAGGTTGTGCATGTCGTCGATTGAATCCAAGCAGCTCTTCATGAAAGTGGAACAAATTTTCCTTGTTCCTTGACGGCTTGTTTTTGAGGGATTCGTGCTGGACAGAACGGATTGCGATGGAGCAGACGATAGCGTTTCTTCGCGAGGGAGTGGCGCAGTGCAACTGCTGTCAGACGCCCGGCTGCAACAAGAAGAGCGTGCCAGTGGTTGCAATAGTCGGACCTGCGAAAAGCTCAGCTACCATCGCAGTACAGAATCTTCTACAGGTATGATTGGCCCGCCTTACAACAGTAACAACATAAAATGAAATTATACTTGGAAATAGTACTTGAGAGCTAAGAGTAGCATTCGATACTAAACAAATAATAATAAGTGGACTGTTTCAGCGATAGTAATTACTATAATACGTTCTTCCTTAAGAGCTTTCTCAAAATCTTAGTGTAATAGAGATTTGCAAGATTTTCACTTTAAATAGTTTGTCAAACAGATACAATAATAGACATGCTCGTTGGCGTGTTACCCGTTGATCGGTGGACACGCGTAAATTTTCCATTTATTACTGTAGCGTGCAAAAATAGCCCAGTGGATTCTGCTCGCTTTATGGACTCGCCGAGTAGCATGTCTTTTTTTCCGGGGTTTTCGTGATAAATTATGACCACCCTGTCATGGCCATCCTGCGATGCAATTAACACATCAAGGAATGCAGTCTCTAACTGCTCTTGTCCATCTGTTGTTGCTCATACGTATTACGTATTCATCCCATCCCACTTTTATCAATTTATGGTATAAAATGGCGTCTCCGATTTTTGCTCGTTGGCGCAGGTCGGAAAATCGAACTAACTCTCTTACCTACCTTATTTAGTGTACTCTCAGCGTCGTCCTCTCAACTGAACGGTCGTTAACGTTGAGCGATCCTTTATCTTCTCCTTGGTTACGAAAGGCAGCAAACAACTCGTTCTTTCTTGAACATCGTTTCGTGAAGTTTATTCGGAGACAAGTGTTTCCACAGACGTTATTAAAGTCGGCAAACATCGTTCCACCTGGCTAATGTTTGGTGTTGTAATAGTGACGAAATTAAAAGAGCCGATGGTATAATTGCGGGTGATCAGTTTTCGTATTGTCCCATTCCAATGTTCGCATGACGTTCTAAAGGGTAGATGTAAATGTTTTTAGAGAGGTGGTATCCTTGGTGGACCATTCTCTTTACTTCAATGTTAATATAGTTGTAAATGGAGATGTTTGATTGTGAAATTTTCATGTAATTGAGGAAGAGTCTTTATTTTCTGAGTATGGATGCACTGACTCTCCAGAGCTTCCAATATCTGTCTCTGCCTCGTCTGAATAGATAGTGGATAGTCGTTATGCTAATTAAACCGATACACTAGTTACTTTTTTCACATTTTTAAATAAGTTTTTTTGGGATCGACTTTCTCTTAACCTCGGCATTGGAATATGAATGTGTCGTTTTCTTGTTCAGCAATCGCGAGGTTTTTAAACAGCATACATTTACTTCCATAAAAACACAATACAATACATCACTAGCTGACGTTTCGGCAGTATCGCCTTCTTCAGAGCCGCTTTTTCGTGACTTCCAATGAGGAAGTTTAGNCTAAACTTCCTCATTGGAAGTCACGAAAAAGCGGCTCTGAAGAAGGCGATACTGCCGAAACGTCAGCTAGTGATGTATTGCATTGTGTTTCTCTATGGAAGTAAGTGTATGCTGTTTAGAAACCTCGCGATTGCTGAACAAGAAAACGACACATTCATAAGTTTTTTTTCTTATTTATTTTATTTTATTTGATCCGTCTTTACGTCTACTGCGTGGATCCCAGCATTTCTTACATTCGATTTGTTTCTTCGCATCCATTGTCAACGAAAATCTTCCAACTTTTTACATGTAGCTTCGGTTGCTGCGTGAGGATTTTCATTTCATCTTGAATGTCGTAGAATGGTGGTCGAGCAATTCTCCCTGGAGTCCTGAGATAGCCGAGCTGGAGCGTTCCCAGTTGGATTCCAGAAGTGATTTTTTTCCAGACAAGTCCGGTACCAGTTTTCCCACTCTGGAGGAATGATAGCCTTGCCTGGCCTGGAGCGGAATCGAGCTAGCACCATGCTTGTGATGACGGCCATCACTACCATTGTGCTATCCGCCTCTAATACGTTCGTACTAATTCAAGTACAGGAATTCTGTTTGTTAGAGTAGATTTTTCCTCGAACTTCCAAGAAAGCAGTGCAAGGGTGTTAGTAATTCTTATAGCGACCGTTTATAAAGCAGTGCCATCGGGGGGTCGTTAACGGTCTCAAGACTAAGTACATTCGAGGACTATTATGGCTATTTTTGACTTAGGCTTGCTCTTAGCTTGTGTAAAGGCATAAAAAAAGCTCTTGGCGTTGATCAATCCCTGAGAGATGTGCCGTACATTCCACTTCATTAAGTACAGCCAGAGTGGTCTGAATGAACATCTGCCCTATACAACGACTGACGGTGGCCTCCCGAAGTATCGATTCAAAGTTACTATCGTCCCAGACAAGTCTGGTACGAATTTGCCGACCCCGGAGAGACAAAAGAAATGATGGGTCTGCGGCGAGGAGATTGATCCCATGTGTATTCTAGGGCACCCCGACCACTGCACTACACGCGCCCTCGTAGATACGATCACCTGTATCACCTGCAGTCCCGTTGATCGTCGAGTGACTCGAGGGTGTGCCAGTAAATCTTCGATTTTTTCCAGGCGCCTGCAAGAGTAGCCTAGTGGTTTCTGCTTCCTCTAGGGACTCGTTGATCATCATACCTTTCTTCTATGCTTTTCGTGAAGAACTCTGACCATAGGGTCGGTGCTCTTCCTACAGTATGCTTGACATCCCGAGCAACACAGTCACTAACGGCTCTTGTCCATCGTTTGTCGTTCATACGCATTACGTGTTCGGCAAAGCTGACCTTCGATAGATCGGTGTACAAAACGGAATCTTTGACTTTTGATCGTTGACGCAGGTCGAAGCTTCGCATCCCTTCCTTTACTTGTGTGGAACGGGATACTCCTAGCATCGTCCTTTCGACTGCGCGTTCAATTACGCTGACTGACCTTTCATCCTGCTTACGCAGCGATCAGGTTTCTAACGCTTATGTTAAGGAGGGCAGTACGGTTGGGTCGAAAAGGTGAGCATGGAGTCGGGTCTTCTTTGTTCTGCCTACTAAATTCTCGATGCTCTTGAGACCTGCCCAAGCCGCTCGTTTCCTTCCTCTCAACTCTGAAGCTAAGTCGTTCATCATATTGATTTCCCGACCTAAATAGACAGAACTGGAGCATTCGGAGATATCCGTCCCGTTGAGCGTGAATGAGACATGCAAAACCAATCCGTTCTTCATGAACATCGTTTTTGTGAGATTTAGCAGAAGACTAATTTTTCCACTTGCTTTGCTAATGTGGGCAAGCATTCGTTCCGCTTGGCTAATGTTTAGGGTTATAAGAACGATGTCATCAGCAAAGCGAAAATGGTGTAATTATCGACCATCGATTTTCATTCCCATGTTGTCCTATTCCAATGTTCACATGACGTTCTGGAGGGTGGCGGTAAATAATTTTGCCGAGATGGTATCGCCCTGCCTAACCTCTCTTTCGACGTAGACTTTCATATCGTTGTAAAATGGTGATATCTTGGTTGTTGAATTTTTATACAGTGCACGAAAAATCATGGGCTCTCCGACTGATTGTAGATATGATAACAATAGGTAAAGGAAATAAGTAGGCCGGTATAGCACGTATCATCTATTTTGCCCCCACTATCGTGGCTTATGCGAGAAATGAACTGAACCTAATTTCTCGTCGGAGGCTTTCTTCCAGGGTGTTCTATCTTTGTCGTAAAACAACAGGAAGGTAACAGAACTTTAAACCACTATTTTGGTTTTAAGGGCAGAGCACTTTTGCTGGGACTCTATTACGTGAATTTGCAGGTGTTTCGTATTCCTCAGGTCGGCTACTCGGCTACCACACCCGATCTATCCGACAAAGAACAGTTTGGTTACTTCATGCGGTAAGCCTTTACGTCCTTTGATAGCGCTGGTAATAGGGTCTTCGGAATGATTACGCTCTTCAATTGTGTAAAATGAGAATACTTCTCTTTGTGTATTAGACGAAGGTATATCATTCCTTGATCAGTTAGCGTACAGCTTCCTAATGACTTATCGAGCTCAGTAGCACAGGTCATGTCGCAATTGTCCGTCCAGGAATGTTCCCAGCCATTCATAAAGCTAATCCTGATTCACTAAGTCAAATGCCGATTGTAGTGTGGTTCCGTCAGACGTTTGGCAAGCACAGGCCATCAATCGACTACTTCATCACTACAACTGGACGTACATCGCTGTAGTCTATTCAGCTGGTGAGCAGCTCTTTTCATTTTTTATGAGACCGAATTAATTTGTGAATGATCGGGCCAAAGACCGCATTCCTCTTGGCAACCGCACAACTAGGCTAAACAAGGAAAAAATTCACTTAGCTGTGTTCGTCCTTCTCGAATCATCCCTTTTATTTCCTTCATTTCTTCCTCTTTACTTTTTCTCTTTAGTTCATCTATCGTCCACATAGGCTTTGATATTTCTCCTGACCTTTATCTTCTTCTCTTTCACACCAATTCTGTTTTTCCAATTTTTTTGCTTTTTCTTTAATGTTTCTGCACTTTTTCTGATTTTAGCGCAAGGTAGCTTTTACTTCCTGAACAATTCAAAACACTGCATAATCAGTTTGTGACAGCGTCAGGTCAATAAGCAAGACAATGTAGAGATCTTTGCTAGCTAACTGAAACAGATGTTCTCTGTAACATAGGAAACGACATTTTCTTTTTTCCCCAAACATAAAATCATTGCAAAATTCAACGCATTCGAAGGGAAAAGATGAAATCCCTCCACAGTACGAGAATTGGTTCATACCACAATGATCTTGTAGCCCTTAAATGCAGGCAATTTTTGCAAACTGGATACTCTGGAAATCAATGCGGGTCTTTTGCATAATGTGATTTCCTCTCATGCAGGCAACTACGGTGAGAAAGGTTTTGAGGCCCTCGACAGGATTCTGAATCAGAAGAAATCCGCAGTTTGTGTAGCGTATTCGGAAAAAATCAAAAGTCTTGCCGAAGATGTCGAATATAGAAAAGTGAGCAGTTTTTTTAATTATTACAGGCTTTTCTATTTTCTTTTGCTTCACTGACAACTATCTGTAAAGTTATCTATGGGTCCACATAACAACTGATTCTGTTTTCAAATTTCGTTCGAGTATTCCTTTACCTCACCCAATGGTTTACCGCCTCGTCGTGGCTGGGAGATGTTCCTGGGTGTCGTCGAACTGCAATGTGCAGCGGGGAGATTCATCCCTCTGGCAGGGTCTCCCCAGTTGAAGAGTTCGTCGTTTCCATGAGGAAGCCTAGCTAAGAGTAAACCAATGCTAGGGTCCACCACCGTCCTGGTATCAAATTAGTCGCATGGTAGCAAATTTCACTCTGATCCGCAGGTGCGGCGACTGCCCGTGGCGGTGACGACTTGGGGCAGAGTTTGGTCAGGCTGACCTTGGAATTCCAGAGAACCTCAGTGGCTAAACTAGCAAATCTCCGATAAATGGAGATTATCCTGGGGGCCGCACAATCAGTAAGGAAGAGCCATTCAAGTATTTCTTTATCTTTCTATTATTCTTCTTTATTTCGCAAGATCTTCGTTTGCAGCCTTTATTTATTTCAAGTGCTTTTTTCTATGCGTATCAATTTTCACAGGTGCTGAAGTCACTGTCGAGCCAAAAATCGCGTCCACAGGTTGTTGTCTGCTTCTGCGAAGGCCTTACTATCCGGAATTTCTTTCAAGCTCAAAAGGATCTCATTAGCCGAAATAAGAATTTTAAGGTAACAGTATCCTTCCAAAAGGCTTAAGAACGGCTACAAAGCTTTTAACAAAGAAAATCGGAACAAAACTTACTGGCGTGCACTGTTAAAAATTAGTTAAAAGTTGAAGACTTTGCATTAAAAAGCCGTCATTATTTTAAATGTCTTTGAATTTCTTGCTTCTAGCGATTCCAGTGGATTGGATCGGACGGATGGGCTGACAGAAACGATGTTGTTGAGGGTTTAGAAGACGAAGCAGAGGGAAGCTTCAGTATTAGAATTCACGCGCCAAAGGTAAGTTTCCTAAGGCCTAATAACGGAGCCATTCATTCACTTGTATAACCACGTAGTTCAAGTTCTGTATAGTATACTAAGTATTTTCTGTGAAATAAATGCAATTCATTAATGGATTGAGTGATATTCTTCTCTGAAGGTTCAGATTCCTAGTACAGGTTCCCGGATTTCGTTCTTACTACTCACAACTGAATCCTGAAAACAACACCATAAATCCGTGGTTTCGTGAATTCTGGCAGCAGAAATTCTCTTGTCAGTTCGCTGTATCGAAGGAAGACAAGAACAACGAGAACATTCGAATATGCACCGGTATGGAGGACCTTAACAAGGAGTACAAAGAGGTTCGTTCTCGGTCAACAATTGTGGATTCTTGCATAATTCCGCAGCGTTTATGTGCTTTGTTCCTATATAATAGCTGTCAGATCACTCCTCTGTATCTGTTGATCCACTCCGCTAAACCATGAATTTTTTGTTGGTGACCAGCCTGAATTTAAATCCGCTGTGGCTTAGACAAACTTAGTCCGCCTCCACGAGCGTTTATTTCACCATTTGTAAAGGCAAAAGTGGTTTTTGAGTTGTTTTTTTCAACTAATAAAATCTGTAGGCGAAGCACGACAGGTTGACGGCCAATGTAGGTGAAATTTTCCATGCTTACAGTGTTGAGTGAATGTAGGCGAAGATGCGGTGTTTACGTCAATCGGGCTCATGGAAAGTGCAATGTTAAACGTAATTATTAGTTAAATCGCAATTGCAATCAATATTCATTTTGTGCACTGTGTACGAAGGCCATATGAAAGTATCTGTTTCTTACAGGATCCAAAGCTTTCACAAGTGATTAATTCAATAAGTGTGGTGGCGTTCGGTTTGAAGGCAATGTATCAGGATCGATGTCGGTAATGAATCGATGTTTTCACTATTTTTGATGCAGTTTAGAACAAAAAAATAAGAGAACAAAAATTTGATCTATTGTTTGCATATATGTTGCCTTTCTCACTTGATACTTGATACTTGAATGGTCCGTCCTCACTAGATGTGCGGCCTCCGCATAACCTCCATTTTTCGAAGATTTTCTGGTTAAGCTATTGTGGTTCCCTAGAACCCCGAGGTCAGCCTAGCCAAAGTCTGCCCCAGGTCTTCACCGCCGCAGGTAGCCGCAGCCCTCATGGATCAGAGGGAGATTTGCCACCATGCGACTTTGATACCAGGACAGTGGTGGACCCAGGTATTGATTTACCCCTAGCTACGCTTCCTGATGGAAACGCCGGACTCCTCAGCTTGGGAGACCCTGCCAGGGGCATGGACCCCCGCTGTACATCGCAGTCCGACACCCACGAACAGATCCCGGCCACGTTGAGGCGATAAACCGTTGCCTTTCTTAAGGAATTATATCTTCTTCTTCTTCTTGTACTATTTAGACCAATGTTGTTTGTCACCCTTTTCACTATCTGTCGTTTAATCGTTGTAAAAGAATGTAGTTGGGTGTCGAATTGCGACGTACAACCAGATGTTCATGTTGAAAACGATTTTGGAATTTTCATCTGGAATTTCAGCTCGGTGTAAACCAATGGAAAGAATCACCGCCGTCCCGGTACAAAACGTAGTTAGACGTGGCAGATCTTTCTCTCCCACTTTGTGATCCATGAAGACAAACGATCGCCTATAGTGACAACCTGCGAGGACGCTAGAACGGATATACTGAGCCTCTGTGTGAAGAAAATCTTGTCTAAGCATTATGACTTGCTTCGCCCTTCAAGGTTACTCGTCCAAGTATAAAGTAGTGTTCGTCAAAACTTCATGTATTCGTGCCATTGTTTATGCCTGAATGGTTGATCCTTATTCACTTTGACATGGTTGTAACTTGTTAGCATTGATTGGTATCGCTGCTGGACTCATGAAATTTTTAGGTCTTTTTTTCACCTCGTTCTCTCCATTAACTAGACAATAATCACTTACTTAACCACTTGAGTGGCTCATATTCGTGAATAATCACGAATGCTCCACAAGAATTCCCAAATTTATTGGTTAGACAAGCTTTTTCTAGAATCTCCAGATGATCATACCAAAGCTTTTATAATTAGGCGCTTGCCATTGTGGATCATGGAAATGTTTGCCACCTTTCGACAGTTTTGCTACCACGATGGAAGCCCTACTCAACATTGCTCTGATCACAGCTTTCGGATGAGAATTTTGGAGTTTCACAACTTGGGAAATTATACTTAGGGATGAATACTCGCTAAGCAACGCAGTTCGATGTGCAGGAAGACTATTCCATTACAATGAGGCAGTAAACTATTGGATGGAAAAATGATTATGATTTGTTTTTTCATTGCTATTCTAAATTCAGCAACAATTCGACGCTATGCACGGAAATGTTATCCAGGAACGGGACGCTGCTTTACCAGTACCTCCTCAACGTAACTTTCGAAGATCGGTTCAAGCAGTTAATATATTTTGACAGTAATGGCGATCCTCCGGCATGGTGAGTAGAATGTTATTAAGAGCTTTTTATTTGTTTCGGAAACGAGAATGCTAAAAATAGTCCATTTCAATTTGTAATTAAAATAGTGAGAGTATTTTTTTTACACATGATCTATGTTCGTATATTTTATGGATCCCGCCATTTCGTTTATTCGAACCATTGTTCATGCGACCGTCATCCGTGAAAGTCTTCGGGTTTGCTTGTGAGTTGAGTCGTAATGAAGTATAACATGAGGAATCTCACCTCTTCATGAATGTCGATGAACACTGATCAAATTGGTTCTTCTTGAAATTTTGTCATAGTTCTGCCAGGGCTCTCACAGGTGAACACCAGTCGCCTTTCTAGATAAGAGGGAGTTTTTTTCTGTGGCATAGGAAACCGCAAAGGTGGCCACCTAATGAGCCTCAGGTGTGGTCAAACCAGCGAATATGAGCAAACATCGTGCGGTATTTCTAAGCAGGTTCTGTCACCCTCATATTACCTTACATTTTCCTCAGTTCTCTAATAGTTGCTATCAAACGTTGAAGTACCTCACGATAGCTCAGTTGGGAGAGCGTTAGACTGAAGATCTAAAGGTCACCAGTTCGATCCTGGTTCTGGGCAACGTGTTGCCTAGAACTAAAATGCGCCTTCTGTAGGCGTTAATGTGGAAATCTACTATTCACCTATATATTCGCAATTCTGGCAGTATTCCTGCGATTGGCAAGTTGTGAGCGCTTTGATAGCTCAGTTGGGGGAGCGTTAAACTGAATAACTAAATGTTTAACTCGCAGAAGAGACGCGGATTTGTGTACGCTTTTCGAGTGGAAACCCACTCAATGTTTGTCTCGGTATCCGCAAATCTGGCAATACCTTTCCTATTCAAAATTTGGCAGTGCCTCGATAGCTCAGTTGGGAGAGCGTTAGACTGAAGATCTAAAGGTCACCAGTTCGATCCTGGTTCGGGGCAGCGTTTTGCTTAGAACTAAAATGCGCCTTCTGTAGGCGTTAATGTGGAAATCTACTATTCACCCCTATATTCGCAATTCTGGCAATATTCTTCCGATTGGCAAGTTGAGAGTGCCTTGATAGCTTAGTTGGGGGAGCGCTAAATTGCATAACTAAATGTTTAACTCGCAGAAGAGACGCGGATTTGTGTACGATTTCCGAGTCGAAACCCTCTCATTGTTCGTCTCGGTAACGGCAAAGCTGGCAATATTTTTCCTATTCGCAATTTTATAGTGCCTCGATAGCTCAGTTGGGAGAGCGTTAAACTGAATAACTAAATGTTTAACTCGCAGAAGAGACGCGGATTTGTGTACGATTTCCGAGTGGAAGTCCACTCATTGTTCGTCTCGGTATCGGCAAATCTGGCAATATTTTTCCTATTCGCAATAGGAATACCTCTAGTAGCTACAGTAGGCAGAAAATACCTATGGTAGGCAGAAAAGGAAAAGGTATAACATTGTAACTAGGAATACTTTTTCTATGCTATTTTATGTACTTCTTAGCAATTATTTGCATTTTCATCAATATTAAAGGCTATGTGGAATATGAGTTTTTCACGTCATTGATGCCTCAGGATTTCACTAAAACCCACGTGAAGTTCTATGATATAACTCAGTCATAGTGGCTTTCCATGAAAAAGCGTTTAGAAAATAAACTTGTCTATCCAATGTGCGTGCAGCGCAGTGGTCGGAGGCGCTCTGGAGTACCCACGGGATCGATCCCCGCTTCCCATGCTTACCAAGCCTTCCATCCCTCCGGGGTTGACAAATTGGTACCATACTTGCCTAGGAAGATAGCAGTACTGGCTCGATACATCGACAGGCCACCGCGAGTCATGGTGAAGTCCAGATATGTACTCAATCGTCTCCAACGATGCTTGATGAGGTCGAAAGCATAGTGCATCCCTTAGAGTTTGATAAACGCCAAGAGCTTTATCCTTTTATCCCTTTTTCCGTTAACATTTAAAACAAATCGAAAACAAAGCTTAGAGTTTCGAACTGCTTTGGCGAGATGATCAAACTTCTTTCCGTCCAAATCACACTGCTTTCATCTATGAACGGTCGGTTGCAATTACACATGTCCGTGCATTTCATTTCTCTTTTCGTTGTTTCATTAGGATGTTCGATTTCTGAGTACATGTGGTGTCTGAACTGTAAATGTCGACTTTAGCAGAGTTTCTATGTCATATTAGAATTCATTCGACAACAACTAACAACTTTTCCACCATCTTATCTTTTCGAATGCACCGGTAGAAAAAGATGGTGTTGCTGACGATAATGTCGGAATTTTACATAATTGACTACAAGTAAGATAGTATACGTTTTTCTAAATATTACTGTTCATTTCATTGAATATGTACGAAGGTTGTTCCGGTGCAGAATCGAACCAACGACCATGAGTGTACTGAATGGCATCTATAAACACTACGTTTAAAGACATAAAAAGTGATAAGCACAATAAAGAAAATTGCTCTGAAACAGTCTAGGAGATCTTAAATACATCGCAGCTGAGGTTCTGATTGATTAGATGCGAGGATAGGAACTTTTTGCTTCTACAGTAGTAGGACAAAGTAACAAATTGGAATCTATTCTTATTTATTAAAAAATAAAGAGGTCGTTTCTTCACCGAAAAATAATTTACTATGAAATATCCATTTGTTTCTAATTGTTTAGCGCTTTATAAACTAGAGTGACTTCATTGGTCTAAATTCCTAGCACATTCCCTTCTTTTCACATCATTTCTCTTTTCATCGTTTATGACCCTGGATTTTTGACTATCCTGTAAAAGTAGTTCTCCACTGAGAAACTTACTTCGAGATGAATGATACGTCGCAAGATTCGTGTTTGCCACTTTTGGGCGGTTTGACCCTTTAACATGGCGGAAAAATGTTTCTGGGTTCGAGCTGCGATGTAACTCAGGTGTTTTTCTCTCAATGGGAACTCCGAAATAAGTAGCTCCGGATTTTCTTCTGGATGTACAGCTGAAATGAACCTTTGCCTTGGTAGAATATACGAGCAGCCAGCCGCTAGGGGGATTATACTGAAACCCTGATGATTTTCCTATACCTTGAGCAAACTGTGTCAAGTGAGCGGCTTCTGGACGGAAACTATTCGACTTTAGTGACTTTAGCGTTGCCCTTTCGAATTAGTCTGTGAATAATGAGAATACACGTGGCTTATTCTAGGTACGACATTCTTAACTACGTTGGTAAGCGGAAACCTGATGATCCATACGCTGAGGTAGGCAGCTTCCAATCGAACAACATCAACGGTGTGGAGGAGCTGAATATGACCGACACCGAAAACATAGTGTTCTTCGATCATTCAAACGTGCTTCCGGGAAGTGTTTGCAGCAAGCCATGTGGTGTTGGTCAACGGGTAAGCGACTACGCAACATTAAGCGTTCGCTGCCTATTATAGTCTTATTATAGCGTGTGCGGCCAAATCCAAAGTGTGCATATCGATTGCTGTTGTAGATCAATCGATGTTTAAATTATAAAGCTTGTGAAGAAAATACATCTACCTAATTTATTGAACTGTTTAGCAACGAGAAACCATTGCTTGTTGTTGGATTTGCGAGACTTGTATGGACCATCAGATCGTGAACTACACTACAAACCAGTGCCAGAATTGTAGTATAGGCTATTGGCCTGACAGCACCAGAAGCAGTAAGATTTCATTCTTTAATTTCATGCATTTCTGGGTCAAAGGAAAACTAAAATTATCCAGGTTGTCATGAGTTGCCTCATGAAACATTATCTTGGTCGTCGTTCGGCTCCATCTTGGCATTAATTCTGGCTACTGCTGGTATGATTACGACTGCACTGACAACGATTATCTTCATGCGACACAACAGTACGCCGGTTGTCAAGAGCACAACTAGAGAACTAAGCTACATTATACTATCAGGTATGTCTAAGCTATGCTTATCAATAGTACAGTTAGTGCTCTTGAATTTCAGGGATCATGATATGTTACGGTGTAACGTTTTCGATTTTGGCCAAGCCATCATCAGTGTCTTGTTTTTTGACCAGGTAGAGCGCTTCTCAATTGAAAATAAAGTAATATAATAAGAATGAAAAATAAGACTTTAACAAATCTCGTGAAGACAAGCTATCGTAGTTTTATCTCATTCCCATTGCTCCTGAGATGGTGATGGAAATCCTTGCCGGTGATTTATTCCTGCCAGAATACCTGGTTGCCCTGTTTATTAAGTAGCCAGTTGTCAAGCAGGTGCTAGTTGAGACCCAGTGGAGTCATACTGGCTTTACTGCTCCCTCATTGGACTGCGCAATCCGCTCTATGTGAAAACAATAGGAAGCTTTACATATTTCGTACTAGAACATAGGTATTCATCAGCATCGGTCGCCTTTTTTTCATTGCTGTGATATTGTTCGTTGCTACCAAGATGTACCGAATTCTGACATATTCATACGGCCAGAATTCCATTCTGATGACGATTTTTCCCTACTTGCTCACGTGATTGTCTTAAGAATTTCCATCGTGGTTCGCGATCACTGTGAACATTATCTTTTCATGACTTGCAAACCTTGCAGCATCATCGTGTCTATGAATTTTCTTTTACGTTTTTACAACGGCATAAATTTTTTATATGACCCGTCATCACGTCTACTGGGCGAATCCCAGCTCTTCTTGCATCCGAGTCGTTTTTTCATATCCATCGTCCACAGTTGGCTTTCGAACATTTAGCATGTCGTTTCGGTTGCTGCTTGATGACTTCGTCTTTTTATGAATGTCTTAGAATGCTGTTGGAGCAGATTCTTTTTGCAATCTTGGAGATAGTCGGGTTAAGGCGTCCCGATGGGGATTGGTGGAGAACGTTCATATAGGCATCGAACTAACGCCTTTTGATTCCTGATCGACGACATCACTAGCCACTGCGCCAAATTCGCCCCTCCTTTGTGAACTATTTTTTTTTGTCAAATTTGTCTTCTAACTAATTTGTAAAGCACTTTCCGTTCCAAGATGAAAAATCAGGTTTCATTCGAAAAAGCTCCAGATTGCGAAAAATTTATACACTATGTATCTAACCAGAAGTTAAAGTTTATTAGTTAGTCAATAGGAGTGTTTTACTCACTGCATCTGCATTCAAATCTTTCCGAAGAATGAGTTTCCAATGCTATGAATCTTACGCCAGTTTTCGTTGACAATAAATTTCGGTAACGAGTTGTAAACCCAACTCTACGTCAAATGCCGAAGTTACCATGAGAAACTTTTCATATTATTAAGCCTCCTAGTGATTAACTATTTTCTTGTACAACTTGTCTCAGTTGTCTTACTTTTGAGTGAGCAGCGATGCCAGCCGCCGCTAGGTAAGCGACCATTGCTGTCTTTCCCGTGTCATACTGTGCCCAACATGTCTTGCCCACTTGATGGAGACAAAGATCACTACATTTTTATTCCAATATTTTCATAATGAACTCTGACCACACGCTCTCTCTAGTTGTTTTGCAGTAGATGTCCTTTGAAATCAAGCCCTGAATTGTTCGTATCCTACCGTTATTACCAAGTCATTTAGATATGGGGACGACACCGTCACTAGTCATTGGCCGTCAACGTGTGTCGAGACTCCAAAAATAATGACTATTTTTCACACCACCCTATTAATCGCACGCTATTCATCCTTCCAAATTCTCACACAACTCCCATTCTAGTCACACTACTGTTCCAAAGTCTTCGAGATATACATTGAAGGAAAGAGAACCTTCAAGTCAAAAGATAGAACGAAGAGCCGAGTGTTCTTCAGCTACTTCAATCCACCGCTCGCAAACTATCCAAGTTGCTCGTTTGTTCGTGTTCAGTGCTGAAGCTAAATGATTATTTTCGTTACTAACCCTTATTCATTGCTAGAATACTCGAAAACATTCCATTTGTGGGCGCGTGTGGTGCAGTGATCGGAAGCGCCCTATAATACACATGGGATCGCCCCCGTGCCGGAAGCTCACCAACCTTTCCATGCTTCCAGAATCGGGAAATTGGTACCGGACTTGTCTGGGAAGGTAGCATCTTCACGTGACATTCTGAATAATTTTGAGGAAATCACATATTCCGCATTGAATCAGAACATCTCTTTCTTAATGTTGGCAAGGACGATAATGATTATTTCGTTACGTGTTTACGACATAGCTCACATAAAATGCCCTTATACCTGCATTTGAGTACAATTAGGTTGTTGTTCTTGTTGTCTTATGGATTGATTACATTCATGGTTCCCTGATTAGCAAATGAGAGAGGTGTCGCCAAACTTAAAAAGTAAATCCGAGGACCGACTTTCCATTAAGCTCTGTGTTGATCAACAGTTTACCGCTTTCTTTATGAGCAGATACGACATTGCTATCTTATTTTGTATTTTACAATTGCTGACGTTTTGGCTGATTTCGCCTCTATCAGAGTCTGGAAAGGTGGAGTTGGTGTGCAATCCACTCAGCCAGGCGCTTCTAAAACAACAGAAGAGCCTGAATCCAAAATTTCAGTAGCATGGAAAACAGCTTATTTGGACACCAACTGTTTTCTATTATTTCTCTATTTATTGGCGAAGACCAACCAACTTTAAATAGTGTTGTTCACTCTATTGAATTCAACTCCTCTCAGAATACTGTACGATTTACTTAGGGCCAGCAAAGGACGTACTAGGTCAATAAAATTTTGTCAAAAATTTAACCATAAAGCGAAAGCTTTATCAATTTCAGAATTATTCCTCCGATTGCGTTCTCTATAGTGTACTCTGCGCTTCTCACAAAAACTAATCGTATTGCTAGAATTTTGGCCGGAAGTAAGAAACGGATTCTTACGAAGAAACCTCGTTTTCTTAGCACATTTTCACAGGTTTGAATAGTTCTCCTTGTTCATGTTTTGTCGCTATTGGTCATTTTGGTACACGACCATTGCCTCGTAGATCAACGAAGTGCTCTGTGATTGGCCAATTTCGATGAAATACTGTCGCATTACTGTAACGATATTCGGTAGTTTCATTTCTAGGTGGTTATCACATGGATTCTTGTCGGAATACAATGTATTATCGTTGCTGTTGGTGTTTTTAAAGAATGGCCATCGGCTGGATTCTCTGCTCACTATTTGCCTTCACGGTACTGTTAAATGCTGTTCAATTTATAAAGCATAAAATCTTGTTCTTTATTTTTACAGCAACATTCGGGAAGAAAGAAAAGCCCTATTTGAGTTCTTTCAGCGTTCTAGCTTTCTCTGTCGTTCTCGACATTATCTAACATCTACATCAAGTCGTCAGGTGTTCAAACACCTATAGAAAATCATTTTTTCTTCTGTGGAAATCGATAATCGATTTACCGACCACTTGGCCACCCATAGTTCCCACTTTGCGCGTTGATTTTGTCCAGTAAGCGACAGGAACAGCATTACGTATTTCATATGAGCAGCTCTAAATTCAGTAGATGTGATGAATAGGTAGCCACGAATAGTTTGACACTCTTTGCCGTGCTATATTCACAAGAATTCTGATAGAAATTTCGAACTCCTTATCAGCTTCGATGGTTCTGAAGGACGAAGAGGTAAATCGACTGTGGATCAACATCCACAAAAATGCCTGCTCATCGCTATGAGACAATACACCGCTGAAGTGGTTCTGCTCATGATGTCCTCAGAATTTTTTTAGGAATAATGTATTGTTTTAGACTGGTGCTTGTTTGTTCCACTTCTTCCGGATCGTTTATGACACCGTTCCTGTGGAATTTGTTCTTAATCTCGCTATGTACACTTTATGCGGTTAAAACTCGTAATCTACCTGAAAACTTTAATGAAGCGAAATTCATTGGATTCACAATGTAAGTACATTCATATTTGTGTCGGTTGAGGATAGTTTTTCGATGCAGATCTTTTCAGGTATTGTACCCTGGTTGTCTGGATCGCGTTCATCGTCTTGCATATGGGCACCGTGAACAAAGCGCTCACCATGAGTTTCTCATTCTCATTGTCCACTTCTATACCTCTTATTTTGCTGTTCTTTCCTAAACTTTATATAATCGTTCTTCATCCGGAAAAGAACGTTCGAGCATCATACACGACGACAAAATTGATACGGTAAGCTTTATCAAATTGGTGTGCCCTTTATCTGCTGTCGTTATCGTCGTCGCTGCGAATTTCACGGTTTTCAGATGTCATTTTGGTAATTCACAACAAACATTGGATAACAAACATCTCTCTAGTAAAACAACAACACGAGCATCTTTACAATCAGCATCTTTAAGGTATATGTTGATTGTTTTCGATCGTTTAACGACCACTAACTGATTGATAATCGCTGTTAAGTGAACGTAATGTGATTCAAGCTGTGTTTCTAACACCTTCGATACAGCGAATTAGGAGCGTTGACAGCTTTAGTAAATGTAATTAAGTGGTTTAGAAGTTCCACAAAATCGACAAGTCTTCCTGGACCTGGAGTGACTCGAACCACTTCAGTGCATGTGCCAGCGAATGCCAAGGGACAACTTCATGTGGATAGTTCCACCCAGACAGAAAGTAGTATTATTTTTTTTATTTTTATTTGACTCGTCTTCACGTTTATGTGCGGATTCTAGCGCTTCTTACATTCAATTCCTTTCATCACATCCACTGTCCAACAAGATCTTCCAACTTTGCGCGTGTTCGGCTGCTACTTGAGGATTTTCATTTCATCTTTAATGTCGTAGAATGCTGGTCGAGCAATTCTCCGTGGAGTACTGATAGCTGGGCTGGAGCGTTCCCAGCTGGATTGCAGAGAGTGATTTTTTCCTAGACAAGTCCGGTACCAGTTTACCGACCCTGGAGGAATGATAGGCTTGGTTGGCCTGGAGCAGAATCGAACTAGCACCAATGATGGGCATCACTACCACTGTGCTATCCGCTCCAAAGTAACATTAATGTCTCTTTAATTTTTTTTATTGACACCATAACAACGTAAATGATCTACTAGTTTGGATCTAAAAAGTTGTTTTGTTTTATTTCAGCGGTTGGAAAGATGATGAGGACGTTCTCTATAGCGGGAAAAAGGAAATCCGAGCCACTGGATGAGGATGTTGCGCGACTAGTTGAAGCTTGCCGACGATATCAGGTATGACTTTAACGAAGAAACGCAGACGAATTCTGCTACACAGAGTAGTGAGCATCTTGCACTATCCGGTACAAGGATCAAAATCTCTTTATGGATTTCTACACTTTTATCTCTTGAAGTTTTCCGGCACTGCTTTAGAGTAAGAATTCTTTTCTTTGCACAAAACAGCAAGCGATTTCTGTCACAATAACCAGACCAAGTTTCATTTCACTAACTTATTTCGTCTTTCGACTACGGTTCAAAGCACTGAAAATCAAGAAATTTCCTCTGTAAGCGTCAAACATAAAGATTTTCAGGATGAAAAGCTCTCCTCGACGACGGGAAATCTTTTGCTTGAGGAAGAGGAGGATGAAGTGGAATCTATGCTGGCGGGTTCGATAGAGAATTCTGTGCGCACAGTTCTATCGACGATGAGTGGTGGCGTGCGACCAACATCCATGATCTCGTCATTATCGAAACGACAGTCACTCACACCGCGCCATACTGAAGAAACGGTAGCGAAATCACCATCGACGCAAAACAAGCCAGTATACCAAAAACCGCCAAGCCGAGACAATGCCAATGCCACCATTGGGGATGACGGATTTGAAGAGGTGAGTTTCATCTCAGATAGTCGAGTCTTATGGAGAACAAATTTGTCTCGATATTGAGATGGGTAACTAATCTCAATTGAGGAATGGTTTGCTGGTAGTTAACCAATAAAAAATGGTTACTAGAAAGTTAATACAGAACGTCAGTGAAAGCACAGAAAGTGTTTGGTCTTGAGTATCCTGTGCTTTAAGTACAACCTTACGTAATAACTTCTCTATGCCTTACTAGAATTCATTATACGTAAGCGCAGTATAGTTTTCTCTATTGCGCAAGGTTGAAGTTTCATCGCTGCTTCTTCTTCAGTAAAGATCTCGACTTCAATATGCATAGGGACAGGAACTATCTTAAGTCTTCCAATGGTTGATTCAATTACATCATCTTCCCTATCTGCGAAAAAGTCGTGTGTGAACTTTGGAGGTCCTTCCTTGTTTCTCTTTTAATGTTGTGGCCAGTTCTAGAACCAGTGAGGACAGATCTTGACCAAAGTAACCCATTTCCGACAAGGTCTTTAACGTCCTAAGGCACCTACGGTTAAATCTCTTTTCGCCGTTATTAGATCTTTCCTCTTTGCTGTCGTTCTCAAAATTCGACTCTGTTTTTTAGAATCCCAGAAAATTCTCGTCCTTAGTCGTTGGTCAATGGAAGGAATAAAGGCATACGATGCGTCACTTTTGCGCAGTAGCCTTCGTGATAACCAATAGTAGTTCAGAGCGTCATTGGGTATTTTTTATGATAAAAGATAGAAGAAAGGCACTGATCAATCACTGAGGAATGCGCCATGCACACGATTTCATAAAGTATCGTTAAGGGTTATTGAGCCCACATCTCGCCTGTGCATTTGTTGCCATCCTCCCAGAAAAAGGTCGTACCAATTTGGCGACTCCGAGAGATGGAAGGCTTTGTGAGTGTGGGGAGTAGAATCGAACCAATGACCACTAGCATATTGTAGAGCAGCTTTAACCACTTTAGATTACTGCGAAGAATGCGGAAGAATGGACCATTCCAGTCATTGTCCCACACGCACTATTTTTGTGTGGTAGTTGACATAGTTAACTTTCTTGTAACTTTTACTGAAATAGGTACAAATAACAGTCGGTTGAAAGTTTGATTGCGATGGTTTTTTCCCCGAACAGTTACCGGTTGTAGATGTCCGGCCGTCTCTAAAATAATGCGAAAAAATTTCTTTACTAGAAATAACTTCCTCGAAAAACTGTAGCAGCATTATCATACGGAAGATGCTATCTGCAGTGAGAGTTTCGTCTCAGAAGTGCATTTAACATCATCAGTTCAACCTTTCCTCAAAAAGGTAAAGGTGACGTGCTTTTGTTCATGTTCTCAAATGTACACAGTGTTTATTTATCTTTCTACTTTATTCGACTTATCTAACCAAACGCACAGTGCGTTTAGTAGATAAGGTAGGCGGCGCTTTGCTCGAAAAAGCACTGAAGCCGTGTGCCCGCCCTCACCGCCAAGAACTTCCAGCATTTCAGCTGCTCAGGAGCCGAGGTGTTCAACCGCTTCAGCTTAGCCAAGCCACGCCGCTCTGACGCCATTAAATCCGTCTCACCACATATAAATCCAGGTTAGTCGTTCAAGTTATTCCTTAGTACAAATTGCAAAAGAAGAAACTGTAAGATATCTCTTGAAAAGAATACTTCACATTCTCTTTAGTAGTTTTCTCATTAATTTTCTAACTGGAATTCTGTTTTAGAGTGGCGCACTATGATTTCATGCAACTTAGGAAAGCGAAGCAAAGATAGAATGAGAAAAGCCCAAAAGAATCGAATTGATGAGACATCGTTTCGAAATATGAGCTTTGCTGCGTTGCTTTTTTACCCCTCTGAATGACTGTTAAAGGCAAACTTCAGAATATGTGATACTACTGAGAAGCTTATCGGAATGTGGCGACGTTTATCAGACCTTATGACTCTCTGACCCAACGATGGCTTTGAAACCATTTTTGTTACCTATACCGTACGCCTTGGTACATGGTATTGACAATGCAACGAATACTTTACAGTTTGACTGTAATCTGTGACATATTGCACCAATACTCCACGCCTGCTTGCTAGGCAACTCTTTTTTTCCTCGCCTAAAGCCATTGTGGGTTGTTTTTGCCCAGAATTTTGTTTTGTGAATTTTCACGCATGAAGTGTATACGGTTCTCCTCTAACCTTTCGCAGTGGAGATTTTTAGTTCAGAAGACTAATTCTCTAATTCTCTGTTGTCATTTTTTTCAGGTCATTTCCAAAACCTCATATTTTCATTAGATTTATTCGTCATCATATCGGAAATACGAAATGTTTTTCCTTCTCAGGATGGTCTGTACCCCTTTTTGCCTCAGTCCTAGTTCTGAAAATCGGCCTAGTATCCTCAGGATTTCTCTCTTCTCTAGTCGTCAGTACTATGCGTCGAAACAGTACCATCATATAATCAACACAACTAAACGTGCGTCTCAGAGTTTTCAAAAAAGTTAAACTTCTCCGATTTCAGATATGGATTCATACTGTAAGCCGTCACCTTCCTACAGCTCGCTGTCAGTCTCACCAACACTTCCGTCCCCGACGAACAGCTCCGCACAATCTCCGCTTGGTCCCGACGTTACCGACGAAGAACTGCAGCGCATTTCCGTGCGTCAACTTAATCAGCGTCTTCAGGTTGTTACATGTTTTCTAGCTAATCCTTCACTTAACACAGGATCTACTAGTAAATTGTACCTGAAATAAAACTCACAAGACTCACAACAACTTTATCAAGTCTTCCTAAGAAAGAAAGAAATGTTGGAAAGGTGGATTCTAATACAAAAGTTGTTTTGGGCATCCAGAATGTGTACGTGTTTCTAAATTCTGGCCTTGGGTCTAATGATGACTGCTGCAACAGTAATAGGGTTATGCTTAGAACGAAAAAGCAGTGTGGAAAGTCGGATATCTACGTTTATGTCCTTAAGCGCCGGTCTTGATACAAACTTCCGTTCCCAATTTTTCTTTATTCTGCTCTTATGAGAGTTGTTATCCTGCGTCCTATTTCATTTTTCGAATAAATCTTCTTCCTCCCAATAGCTAATTTGTTAAATTGCTCATTTTGATATCGCTTTGGAACTCATTTGGAGTGTGGTCGGTGTTTTTTTTGTGACGGTTTTCTCGACCATCACACTAAATAAGGGGAGAATTAAAGCCGTAACTTCAATGGATCTGGCAGATTTCTGGTTGTTGGAGCATCTACTAGATCGATCATCCCCAACAAATTTCTTCCGATAGCTAGGTATTTGTTTATTTTGATCAAATCACAGCACACCATAACTAGTCAGTTTAGCCAGAGTTCATCAATCATTTCATCATTCCTATAATTGGTTTTTAGCCTATTTTTTGAAACAAAGCGTGAATTGTCTTATGGAGAAGCTAGCTTGGTTAAAAACCCCCCTATTCTGAGAAAAATTATCTAGAAGATTTGTTGTTATCTTTCCTTCTATATTTCGTTCAATAATGGATTAACTTTGGCTAGTATGCTACTTGGTTAATGCAATCACTCAAAGCTAAAGATAGGTTTATACTCAGTCCTTAAGGTGTCAAAGATAGATTTATACTCGGTCCTTAATCCACTAACTTAAGGGTCATGATCGACAGCTGGTGACAATGTTGAAGCAGAAACGTCGAACACTAAAAAATCGTGGCTACGCACTCAATTGCCGAGTACGCCGTATTCAAAATCAGCTGCAGTTGGAAGCCGATAACATACAGTTACGAGATCAGGTATATATGTGTAACTTAGGGTATACGACGGAACTGGAGCCGATCCTTCGCCATAGCTCCTATAAATCTTTGAAATACATAAACCTCCACTTACCGTATATTTCCACTTACAGGACATTATTGATTAGTTAAATTACTCAGTAACGAAAATTGTGTCGACTTCGAAGTTGTTTCCAAACGTTACAGGGTGTGTCCTAAAAGTTTTGCTCGAATGCACGAATGCAATGCGAATGCATCATTTCCCATCATTCCAAAGCAATCACAGGTATTGGTGCGCACGTATTGGCGAAAGGCGATTGGTGTATGTAAAACCAAAAGTGGGGATGCTCATCAGTATGTGAGAACTGTGACAACACCATGTTATAGCTCTTGAACATCAAATTCGATGTGACAGGCGTCAGTTGCAAGGTTTGGCAATACAGTATATTCAAGGGAACACAGGCTTACGTAATTTAGTTCCATTGATCATAAATCGCATTAATAGTCGGTGTGTTTGGTACTATAATACTACGTCAACTATGTTATGAAGTATTTCCAACAGTTGTAATAAAGTTGTAATAAATAGAATGGCAACCTGTTTGGTTCTTTTGAAGATGAGAATGAGCACGTTATAGAATCGTTTGAATGAATGTAATCGTTTGAATCTTTCAGATCCGCAATTTGCTACAAGTTCTTTCCGATGTACAAGCACGTCTACAATATTATGAACCAACGTTTATGCTTAACGACTACACTTACATGACTTCAACGATTCCAGCGATGTATCAAAACACTGGGACGAATCTTTTGATGGCAACAAACGCATCGTCTTCGAATAACTGTCAGATGCCACAGCAACAATAAATCCTCATCAGTTGAATGGCATTGTAAAACCTCAACTTTAGCACTTCTAACAAACTGAACTCGAATATCATACTGCAATCGAACGAAGGTGGTGCTCATGGGAAACGGAACTGTGTCGTTATTTCGAAGCATACTGTTTCCATCCAACAAGAATGTTTCCGAATACTCATGGCATGCCTCAGAAATGGAGTCATTCTTAGAATGACGTAACTAGTTCACTACTTCCTGAAGTATATATTCTAATTTCTATAATACCACTTTCTACTGAAGCCAATTGAAATCGTTCTATATGAAATCGGACTTCATCTGTGGCGGATAGGCTCGGTATTTAACTGCGCTTTTAGTTCTAGGGTGTCAAAACGGAGCACCTATAAATCTTTGAAATACATAAGCCTCCACTTACCGTATATTTCCACTTACAGGACATTATTGACTAGTTACATTACTCAGTGACGAAAATTGTGTTGACTTTGAAGTTGTTTCCAAACGTTACAGGGTGTGTCCTATAAGTTTTGCTCGAATGCACGGACATTATTTCCCATCATTCCAAAGCAATCACTATCCAAAGCAATTCCTCATTCAGTAATGTGACATCCACAGTGAACTCGATCTTCTAAGGCCTTAGACATATTCCTTGATATCACTTTTTAATGCTGCCATTTCCACTATGTTGTGAATTCTATCTGAAGACGTTCTATCGATTTGTAGATGCTCAGTTTGTTTAATTCTCATTATACCTACCATCTTCAGAACAAATTTGTTTTTTCAATGTTGTTCATGTACGTTTTTTTTGTCACTGGATTCCTATGCTAATATATCTCGGTTCCATCATTCCATACCTTAGTGGTTGTTTCATAGTTTTAATAGCAATAATAACTATACTATTTCTACTCTGTGTTAATGGCAAGTCCAAAAAAACTCGACTTACAAACTTATGACGTCTTATGTACAATGAGAGATTTTTGAGAACCACTTGTTTATGGAAATCAATAGCCTTGAGCATGTATCACACTTTAAGGACACCAAATCTGCTATATCTCCCTTCAATTTGTGTCGCTCTCCACTCCAATTGGATAGTTATCCCGAATGGTAACGAATTTCTTTATTACATGATCCTGAATTAAGTCCTCAAACTTGGGCAACTAAACGCATGTAACTGGATGATTGAACCTCTGGAATGCATATGGGATCGGTCCCACGTTTAAGGCTCAAAAAACGTTCCACTGCTCCAGGGCTGGCAAATTTGTACCAGATTTGTAAGGAAAAATAATATCACTGACTCGATACACCGCTAGGCCACCGCGACTCACTGTGTAGGCCAGATACACATTCAATCACCTCTAACGATGATTAATGAAGTTGAATGCATGGTCCATTTCTCAGGGATTTATAAACGCCGATAGGTTTACCTTTTATTCTTCTATTACATGAACCGACATCAAACATACTACGATGTGCGGATCTCAGCACTTCATCCACTTGATTCGTTTCCTTGCACCCACTATCCATGAAGCTTTTCGAACTTTTTTGTGCGTCCTTACGTTACTGCTTGTGAGTCTTCTCGACTCGATCACTAATGTCGTTAATCTCTGGTCCAGGGGATTCTCACTGGAATACTTAGGCGTGCTAGAGTGTTCCCAGGTGTATTAAAGGGACTGAACTTGCCCCAAAAAAGTCTGGTAACAATTTCCAATCATATCACATTACACTTACTATCATAAAATACTCAAGCATGCAGGAAGTCGTAAACTTCGACCACCATCAAAATGGGACACATGGCCTTCTATCTCAATATTTATCAACAGTTTTCACGTACGATAGCGGAGAAATCGCAGCATTGAGCTGATAGTGTCAAGCAGCACTGGCCGGCACCGTCAAATGGCAAATACGGGAGAAAAGGAACATCTGTCGGAAATACGCCTAATATCAATGTGATAATGAAGCAATGGACCGAACAATACAAACTGATAAAGCAAATGGTTCATGAACTAGGATGGAAATACTTTCTTGGGACGAAGATGAAGCAAAATCCACGGAATTTGCACTATTTCTCTATTTTCACAAACCTTTGCAAAAAAAAGAATTTATGTTGACTTATGCCTTAACGAAGATAATTTAGCATACTCGCGTTATCTAAAACATGGCCATAATGATAACCTGACAGGTGGAAACTGAAATATATTCACACAGTCTTATTCACATAGTCTAAAAAGCCATAGAACTCTTAGTGCGAAAAATTTCACAACGCTAAATTGCAAAAATAATGCAGACTATTGGACACCTTATCCTATTGTCAGGAAAACCCATTAATACAACAGATCGTTCCCATACAGTTGGAAATCGCGCTTCGTTCTCATCTACAAGTAATCCAAGAATGCACAAACCAGTACTCTCCTATCAGGTACCAAACCGCAAGGCGGAAAATGATCTCCTACAGAAGCAATCCACCGCTGTTGGTGATGACTTGGGAAAGTCCTAGCATGGCTACATAAATACGTCAGGGAAATAAAACCTTGCCCAATCAATAAACTATTAATCGAATAGAAATTTTACAAGGCAGGAATCTCTTGAATTAAGGAAACGCTGGGCTAATTTTGCTAGTTATTTAGCAAACGAACAGAAGTCATACGTAGTAATTTGTTAACCAGAATGTTTATTTTGAAGAATGAACAATGTCGATGACAAAAATGAAGAAAAAACTGAGGTTTTCAATGGCGTATAAATTACGACGCACTTCCATAATAAGTCGATGAGTGCTCACATCTATACCGAAAACTAACGACGCTTGAAATCTTACAACAGCTTCAAAAAAGCTGACTATTTTTCTCAACGTTCTTTTGACTTTTTTTTTACAGTAAAGAGCTATGTTACAGAAATATATGTACTAGTCGTAACATGCCATAGTATAATTTCGTTTAGCCCTTGGACTAAAATGTATCTGGGGATAGTAACAGAAATAATAAACTAAAACAATACAATAACTTTCATCACGACTTCACCCAGAATAACAACTAAATGCAAAAAACGGGGATCTACTCAACCCCATACCCGAGCTTCTCCCATTCCTCTCGATCCATGAGCCCGTGATCCATACGACATTGGAAGTATGATTTCGCCTTTTCGCGACATTCACTGTTCATGTATTTGTTTTCATACAAACAACACATGTACCTTGAAAAATGTAGATAAGAACGAATAAGAAGATACTGAATCAAAAACGTGACGACGCAATGGGGCATTATACTGTACTAGAGTTATTAATGGTAAAATTAAGATGAAGAGACGAGATGGTGGTATAATGTATAACGTAACGTGTAATTATAATGGTTACCGAACATCACGAGCACGTGCTGGTTCGATCCCACACCGGGTTCACCAAACGTCATTCCTCCGGGGTCAGGAAATTGGTATCGGGCTTTTCTGGGAAAGGTTCACTCTCTGACATCCAAGAGGGAACATTCTAGTCCAGATATCTCAAAACTCTAATGAGAATCGGGTCAAGCAACATTCAACGACATTCACGATAAAAGGGAAATCCTTAAGCAGCAGCTGAACCCACACGTGAAAACTGAAAAACCTTTGCGAATGAAGAATGCGAAAAATGCTGGGATGTGCACACTAGATGTGAAATATCGGTCGTGTAAAAAAAGAGAATGAAGACCAAACCAACAGAAGAAATGAACGAAAAAATTCAATGCTAACAGTATGTCATCTATTTTTTTGAAAAACATACTTAAGCATTTGGACTTTGCATGTTCCTTCATGATCGAGTGGAAATGAACCCTTCAACGGTGGTGTCACAGGCTGTATCCGATTAAATGGCCCAGCTTGAGACATCCGGTTGCTTAAACACAAAACGGCTGAATTAGTGAAATAATACAGAGTATATGCTTGGAAAGAGAGCTTCAAAACTACAGAAAAAAAGAAACTCCGGCGTTCGTAGTCAGGACTTAGAAGGAAATTGGACTCCGATACATGTGTAGCAGCATAAAATACCTTTCATTATTTTGACTGCACTAGATTACTGCACTTCAGACGTATAAGTAAGCACAGCCACTAATCTCATAAGATCGGCAAAATTTTGATGAGCCCATGAAGGTGCATAGAAATGGCTAATTACTACAGAATTAGGGACCCATCATTTCCATCCATGTGCGACACATACGGGATTGATCCTCACGCACGTGGCTCACCAAGCCTTCCATCCTTCCGGGGTCGTCAAATTGGTATCAGACTTGTCTGGGAAGATTGCAGCACTGACTCGATACATCGGTAGGGCACCGCGAGTCATTGTAAAGGCCAGATATGCATTCAATCACCTTTAACGATGCTTAAAAAAGTCGAATGCAAGCGGCATCTCTCAGGGATTGATCAACGCCGATAGCTCTATCCTTTATCCCTTATCCATTTCTGTCCATTCTGATATCAGAACTTGTGGTCTTGCTGCACATACTAGGATTCAACAAGAATTTTGCAACACTACTAATATCCATTGAGAAAAAAGAAAAGCCGATGAGCACAATACGATAGGTGGTAAAACAACTTTGATGCTTATCTACCGTCTGCTCGTAACAGAATAATTGTTAGAACGCTATTGCAAAGCGGCAATCCTTAATATGATAGCTTTATTTACAGCTTTACCCTCAAGGAATTATAACAATACATGAGACACTTCGAAGGAGGCGTACACTGACAACTCATTTAACTTACCTGCCGTTATCTAATTATCGATTGATAAGTACGACCTAATTATCAACTCAAATAAGGCCTTATCTTTGTAAGGAGTATGACGAATTGATGGTAACGATTATCCATGTCAGATAATAGAATGAGGCGACATTTAAGGATACTCCTGTAAACTATTCCAACGCATCTGGATATACATTTATATTAAACATATATCTTACATTGAACAACGGAGTATACGTACTAGGACATCCAGAACCTAAATGGACTTCACAGCGTGGAAATCTGAACAATCTTGCCTTCTCATAAACTATGTCTAACAACAAGAACAACGATTAGACATCCTTCCCTGATTTCTTTTGCAGCTCAACATACTTAACCCAGGATTGTACTGGAATGTCCGGCAACGGTTTCTGCAACTGCCATCTTTCCCAGATCGCCGTAGCGAAAATCGCAGCAACGGCACCAGCAATCAGAATCGCATTGTGTAATTCCGACTGTCTCACCATACCTAAATGAAGAACCAACCATTTTTTCACAGCGCCCACGATAGAAAAAGTTGCGTCAAGAATTTGCTGTGTACTTTACGTTGAGGGCGACGAAGAACTGTGGTTAGAGATGCTGCACAATACACACATGGTCAGTGGTTCCACCCAGTCCCGAGCCAAACAAGCAACCGAACTCACTCAGGTTGATGAATTGACAGTATAGTTGTCTGAGAAAAGATCACTCCGATCTATAAAGTAGACGGGTGCATCTGGTGAAGGCTTGTGAACAATTCAGCAAGCCATCCTAGGATTTCAGAAGAATGAATTTGACCAAACTTCAACGATATTAATAAAGAAAACAAAATCCTCACCTACAAGTCGAGCCCATATGCGAATCCAAAGACTTTTCTGATTTCTCAGGATTTCTACTTTCCTAAGTGACCTTCCCTCCCAGCGGTTTACCGCCTAATCGCCGCTGGGAGGTGTTCCTGGGTTTCGGACTGCGATGTACAGCGGGGGATTCATCCCTGGCCGGGTCTCCCAAGCTGAGAGGAGTCCAGCGTTTCCATTAGAAAGCCTAGCTAAGAGTAAACCAATACCAGGATCCACCACCGTCCTGGTATCAAAGTCGCATGGTGGCAAATCCATGGAACCATAATAGCTTAACCAGCAAATCTCCGAAAAATGGAGATTATGCTGGAGCCCCCATAACCAGTGAGAACGGGCTGTTCAAGTATCAAGTATCAAGTAAGTGACCTTCCTGAGTATAAATGGAAGAGAACGAGCCCAAATGAAAATACTAAGAAACGGACAACATGTGGTATTGGGTCATATAAAACAAAAACCCTTTGAAGCTAGTATTCACTATCAAAAACAAAAACTACAGAAAAAATAAATATATATACAATATAAATATAGATAGCAGTCACCATACTTCAAGCACACCTTAATCAGATTCAAGAGCAATCCCAGATATATCTGGCTTCGTCCAACGCTGTAAATCACTTAGTTGCAGCCTTGTTCCCTAAAAAACGAGATGTTCTGCACTTAATTTTTCATAGCCTTCAAAATATGGAAGACCACTAGAACATCTATAATAAAGGATAAATAAAGGATAAAGCCTCTACGTTGATTAATCCCTGAAGAAATGACCAACGTTGGCCTAACGATGTATCGAGCCAATGCTGGTATTCTCCCATATGAGTCTGGTACCAATATGCAAACTCCGGAGGGATGGAAGGCTTGGTGAGCCTGGGGTGCGGAGATCGACCCCACGTGTGTTCCAGGGCGCCTCCGACAACTGCGCTACACATGCCCTGCCAAAACAATTATAGAAGGGAAAAACTGAAGGACATTTTATGCATATGTGGAACACTTAGGCTTATTCTCTCAAAAACATGGTTATGGTGCCGCCTGTCATAACGCTCTTGATTGGTTTTTGGAAGGAATCTCTATCGTCCTCGATTCATCCAAAAGACGGTAAACTTCCTACCAGTACAGAACCAGCGATTGTTTGTTGTGAAATAGAGGATGCGCTCTAGCTCAAGAACCTCGAGACACAATCGATGAATAGGGTTAACGAACCCGTCAACATGTCATTACGGATACAAGGCGGTAGATGACCAAGCCATCACCGAACCCGATTACTTTTATATGTAAAAGTTAAATGACAAGGAAACGAAGTGTTGTTTCCGTAAAGACATGTGAGGACTTTCCACCTGAGTACCTAATTAAGTGGAGTTCATTTACCTTAATGAGGAAGACAGAAGACTGAATTAAATGTGTGTCTAAATGTTTTCCAGATTGCAAATTACAACTGACAGCAATTAAGTCAAAGAAGAACAAAGAATAGTGAGTGACCTACCACCAACTGTCCGAATGAAATGGAATCTTCCGCCCAATAATACGCCTTTGATACGATCGGAAAGTTCTGATGGAAAAATCGCCTATAAAAAAAAGTGGTATCATTTCAAAAAGGATAGAAATAGAACACTGGATCTCACCGTGACTTCTCGCTACGTCGAAGAGTGCAAAATCCAACGAAAGTAGCAACGAAAACTGCGACTTCTACGGCTACAAGTTGGTAGATGCTCTTCCGAACAACTGATGCCAGTGTGGCACTCCTGGAAAGCTTTTCCTTGATTGGTGGGTGATTGCTGAGAGGACTTACAGGTTAAAACACAATTGGGAGAAAATCAAATGACCCGCATGGTGTAGTAGCGAGCACCTTAACCCTCGGGAAGGGTAGTAACAGGTTTGATCCCAACCGCAACATTTGATGTAAGGAGTTTTGCAAATATCTCAACATCACTGCAGTTATGCTTCACATCATACTCTTCCATGAAAAAAGAAGAAGCAGTAAATAAAAAGTGACCATTGTTTTCTTAGTGTTGGAGAAGAACATTAGGACAGCAAGATCGAGAATCGACAACCAGATTCGACGCTCCATTCACCCAATTGAGCTTCTTGGTAAAATTTATTGTAAACACCACTTTCCACTTAAGGAAGACTAATTAACCTAACTAAAAACGTAAACCGCTTTACAGGAATTGTTACTTTACATTATCTGAACTACACTAAGGAATCATGGATTAGAAAGTACGTGACTACGGACTCACGCGATGAATTTGGAATTTTGGCGCGTTGCTTCAGGAACGATCAAGGATGCAGATCCAGCTTGTTAAGAATCCGTAAGTGTTGTTTCTTGCTAAGATTGCTTTATTTGAAGGCAGGACTCTTAAGTGTCTTAAGATGAAAATCACGTTAAACGTTGTCTTAAGGTGTCAGCCTTGTCTTAAGATGTCACGTCAAAGTTTTAGTGATGGTCTTAATGAGTGTATGCTTATCGAACTCCAGGGAACCATTGAAAACTACGGTCAGCCGCTTGCTGGTCGAGTTCTCGGTAAGCTGCTTGGAGTTCATGTTTTCACATTTCTTTGTTGAATCCTTAACAATTTCATTAAGTTACTCCAACAGAATAGGAAACATTTGAAAGTAACAGCATTCTCGAAGAGAATAGTGACGTTTAGGCACTCTGGTATGGCATAAAGACAACAAGCAAGCGTTGTTGCAAGTTGGTCACCATCTTCTAGAAGGAAAAGTATGTCATTTGTCCAAAAATTCATGACTTGGTACAATTACCGTACAGTTCATTGCTTTCCTTGTGAGTCTAATGATTCATAAGAGAAGAACGTCCTCAGATTGAGACGGTTTCTATCTTACTCATATCAAATGACGACGGTGGATTCTTCCTGATACAGGCTAATAATTTTGTCATTAGGGTCCACTTCCGAAGTGAATAGCGTTCGCAACAGTTTAGTGGGATCGAATAGGTTCATACACCCCTAAGGGATTGAATGACACCAAACACTTTGTCCTTCTGAAACTCACGAAGTTATTGTTGCAGATTTCCGAATTAGAGAAGCCGTTGTTGTTAATGAAACCATCGCCTTCAAACCAGCACTTTGAAGAACGTACAATGATCATAGAGGCAGTAATTAAACGCAGACTCCTGTTCAAAAATCGGCCTAAGCCATTTACTTTGCCTTCAAAAGCGGACCACTAATGGGCCTTCATAAGTTTCTGTGGACAAATATTTCATTCGTGTAAAGAATGTCAAATAACAATAAATTTTTATTTAAATGTTATTGAGAGCATCGAATATAAACTAATGTAGTACGAAATTAGTCTTTGGCGTTATTAGCGAGACCGTCGCTTCATCTGCCTCCTTACGGAAGTACGCAAACATCAAGTCGATCATCAGATATATCTAAAACGATAATCAACTCTTTCCACATTACAAAAACAATTGCTGTGAACATTTCTTGACTTTTCATACACATCACCTCTCAAACGTTTACCGTCTAATCGTGGCTAGGAGGTTCCTGGGTATCGGGATCCGATGTATAGCAAAGAGGATTCATCTCCCAAGAGGGTCTTCCAAGCTAAGAAGGAGTCCAGTGTTCCCATCAGGAAGGCCAGCTAAGAGTAAACCAATACCAAGATCCACCAAAATCGCATGGTGGCAAATCTCCCTCTGATCCACAAGGGCTGCGACTGCCTGTGGTGGTGAAGATCTGGGTCAGACCTTGGCTAGGCTGACCTCGGGATTCCAAGGAGCCACAATAGCTTAACTAGCAAATCTCCGTAAAATGGAGAATATGCTGGGGGCCGCACAACGAGTGAGGACGGGCCATCTAAGTAAGTATCACACACTTCTACAATATATGAATGAAAGTTGAAGTGCAATGGGGATAAAAGCTTCGGTGTGCTGTAAGAGTTCAAGAGCTTAGGTGATGAGAAGGCATTCTGTCAACTCCGGGAAACCGAACGTTACTTAACAGGATTTTTAGAGAAAAGTCATAAAATCCGAAACTTTAGGTTAGCTATCACCGTAATGCATAAAATTAGGGGATATTGTTTGAGTTACCTGAGCAACATTGTAAATCAAAGTTACAGCGAAATAGAAATTTGCATTGCCCGAACCAACGACGATCCACATGTGCCACATCACTGGCATCAGCACAACGCACGTCACAATCGCACAGCCAGTTACCAAAGTGTAACGAGGATCTAAACCCTCACATATTTGATACTTCACAGACGCTAACTGTAATCCAAGAAGCTACTAAGTACGACTGGGTGTAATCAAGGTAGGATGACAATTAAAACTTCCTCTGGCCATCTCACAAAGTTAGTTTGAGGTATCAAGGTAGACACATTTCCGTCCCTAACTCTTTATTTCAGTTTTGTTCCTACATATTTAGGTTCCCCATTGCTGTTTCTGCTCGATACTGCAGAACTATACTCGACTTAATGAAAAGCTCCTAGCTAGCAAGCAGCCTATAGAAAAAGCCGTACTAGACTTTAATCTGTTACAATCAGAATTCCTTATAAAATTCAAAATCTCGCTCCTTTCCCTACAAACATCTCAACCCACTTTTGAAATGAGAAAACCTCACATTTCTTGTACTTCTCGAACATTGGCAGAAGCGCTAGATAAGTTGATGCATCGTTCAATGTAGGATATGACGAGAATACGGCCACCAGCAATAAACTAATTACCAAATGAAGATGTGCGTCTCTCCTAGAATATAGTCAAACATCATAACTGGACCAGGCACCCAAAGTCAAAAGTGGAGAATTTGTCACTATTTACCTTAAACTCAGTAACAGCGGAACCACATAGACTATAAGATTAATTTGGAATACGGCCAAGTAAAATGTTCGGAAATGTTCGAACACTTGGATAAAAAAGTACCAGAATAGACCAACGTTCGGCGTCAGATCATCTGCATGCAGGCTGAAAATACTGCTAGCGGTACATCCAGTTTTTAATGCATCTCAAACACCTCTGCCTTGCACTGTCAGCACTACTACGCTTGTCATAATGTTTCTCGCAACTTAATGTTGTCTAAATTTAACACAAATATCGCATCGTAGCTAACGTAGATATTGAAGTTAATGCATAATGACGTCTCATTCCTTTCGTGAAAGCATCTTTTTGCAGACAATGTAGTATAATTTACCATTTATCACTAATAAATGTATTAAGTTGAAAAAAAACCTTTAGGAAATAGGAAAAGAATGACTTGATTGTGGAACCAACCATCAAACACTAATTTACTACCCATTCTAGTTATCGTAAGTATTGAAGAACCAAGCTCAATCACATCTAACATATGACGCCCGAAGCTAATTTTTCGACAACTGACAATGATTTCTGAATTATTGGAGCAAGCGGAACTGGAAACATGAATAAATCTAGGACAGGATTTTCTCTAAGCTCCTAACTGTATATGAAATACAATGTTTAACTTTTGTTTACCACTTATTATTTTCTCACGGCAGTGTATTACGTGGTTGAAAGAAAGGCAAAACAGTGACTTCGTTTGGTGATGTGGAGAGCACGTGAGCCCAGGAAAGGGTCATCACACGTTCGGACCTTACTGAAGTTCCGAGTTTTGCTCATATCTCAGCACCTTTGTGGCTGTATTTCAAATAATACTCCACTATAGAAAAAGATTAAACAGCAAATAAAATATTGTGATTTCGACTGCAGCTTTAGCTTAACTGGGTCCAATGCCGATTTGTGCTCTCCAGATCATTACTGTTGACCGCCGACTGCTGATAGCACCGCTCGAGCAAGAACATGGCTGAGAGAAAGGTAAAGGAAGGGCCCTGGTTGGCGTGGTGAATAGAACGTGAGCGCCGGAAAGGGCTATCACGGGTTCGACGAAGCCTCAACTGAAGTTCCAAGTTTTGCTCATATCTTAGCATATTTGTTGTTGTATATAATATCCCGGCTTCAAATATCTTCAGGAATAGTATTTTCAAAAAAATTGGCAAAATTCAGACTTCCAAAACCTCCCGTACAACCGCGATAGTTGCGAACATAAACGATATATAGTGAGGAACACCGTCATATATTGCTCGATATCACGGTTGTTCAATTACTATCGTGTTCAAAACAGAAATTCTGATGCAAAAAAGTGGGAAGAGAGTGATACCGGTTTAAAATATCAAAATTTCATCCTAGTAGAAAAAATAATTTAAACCTTGTAGACAAAAATCTGTACATTCTGTTGATTATTGTCCCAAACAAAACCCCGTAATATGAGCTGAGATATGTCGGCTTAAAATTTAAGGTGGCCTTTACTGCCTCCTCAACTGCATTGCATACACTGAAACCAGGAGATTATTTGATAAACATACATAAATGGAATGAACACAAAAGCAGAAGGAGAGCTAAGACCACTCCCGTTGAGTTCCGTGCACACACGTCGCCCAAAAACAACGTGGATCCTACATCGGCGAAAATCAAAGCCTTCGACGCATAAAGTACGTCACTATCGTGGACCTAGTCCTTCACAAGCAGTGACCGAGATGCATTGAACACAATGCATTGGCCGCAAAATAACGGCTGCTTCCCGCGTAAAAGTAACATGTCAAAAATTACACTGGATTTTACGAATTTGAAGGAAAGGATTGAAACACACAAATCTTTGCCTGCAAGAAATAACTCTTTTGTTTCAATAGAATGAAGTTTTGATACTTCAAGCTTAAAAAATGTCATCTGCGTCAACACCTGTTTTTCCAGTCGAAAAAGTAATCGGTTCAACAAGCGGAATTTTATCCAATAGGATATGACGGTTTTGCACAATATATCACCTCTATAACCATCCCTGAGAACTTAGAATTAGTTTAAAATGTTCTCAGAAGTTTAATTCAAAATATGTTTAAGCCGTGGCGAACGTGTTTTAGCCCTCGAAAAGGTGATAGCGTGTTCGATCCCCACCGCAGACAGTCGCGGTTCGGAGTCTTGCAAATATCTCAGCATTATAGAAGTTATATTTCGCAACATACTCTTCCGTTAAAAAGAATAGGCAGTAAATAAAAAGGTTAAGATATCTCAGCATAATTGTGGTTATACTGAAGCCATTCTGCCCCATGTGGATCCACGGCGCTTTGGAGCAAACGACCAGGAGGACACTGTCGTGTCGGTATTCAGTTTAGTGGGTTTCAGTGCTCTTTCTACCGCACTATGCATATCCATTCGATAGATAAACGAAACTACACCAAAATCGGAGGCATGGGGCCAGAAAACCATCCTTTAAACCCAATAATTTACAAAAAACCATTTAACGAAAGGGTTCATTAGCTGGTAATTTGACTAACAATTTATTGCTACCTCATTTTAAACGCATTGGTTATTGCATATGATGTATGGAGCGGAAGTACAACAAAAATAAACCGCAGAATAGTTCCAAATGTCGACGGCAAAGCAACTGTAATATGGACTACAGTAACACATAGTAACAGTTGCATACTTATCCACCATACTGAAAATAAGAGAGCAAATTCTTTTCTACAATCCTCTCACATTCAAAACCCTGAGTTCTAATTATTGAGAAGAGATTTTTTAATGTAGAATAAAACCACAATGATGCTGAGTTATGAGCAAAACTCTGAACCTTAGGTAAGCTTCGAACCCGCGACTACCCTTTCCGGGAGCTGAAGGGTTACCCAATGCACCACCGAGGCAAAGGTAAACAAGAAACATCCGTGCTGTCAAAAAACCAGAAATTCCGCAGCAGACAAAAAATGCGTGTAATTGGTTGAACAGGCCACAAAAATAGCGCCACAACAGAATAGGTTAGAGCTCAAATAATACTGCATAAAAATAGTGCACGTATATATATATATATATATATATATATATATATATATATGTATATATATATAAGGCGTGTGTGGCGCAGTGGTTTGAGGCTCCACTGCGACACACACATGGAATTGATCCCCGCGCCCATGGCTCACCAAGCCTTCCATCCCTCCGGGGTTGGCAGATTGGTACCAGACATGTCTGGGAGGATAACAGCGCTGGCTCGATACATCGGTAGGCCACCGCGAGTCATTGCAAAGATCAGATAAGGCATTCAATCATCTTCAACGATGCTTAATAAAGTCGAATGCATGGCACATCCCTCACGGATTGATCAACGCAGAGAGCTTTATCCTTTCCACATATACATGTATATGCATATATGTGCATATACATATATATATATATATATATGTATATACATATATACATTAAGGCGACATTGTAAGTCATGTCTATGAGTCACTGATGGTGCTCAAATAGTGTAGTGACCAAAAATTATCTTCCCTTGTCGACTAGCTCTAGGTGGACATATTAAATACATGGGTGTTAGCTTATAAAAAGAGTTCACACTTGTCATGAATACTGTTATAAAGGTGTCAATGGTCACTCCTATCTTCGATGAAATCACTTATAAAATTTCAAGAGGAACAGCACACTTACATAAATCCATATGTGTCTTCGAGGAAGTTCCAATTCATATCATTAAGAAGCCAATTCAAAAGCACCATTGCAACGAATCCGAAAGTAAGAGCACTTAAGGTTAGCACTCGTTCTCGTACGGATGTAAACCGGAGTAAAACGGACGCCACAATGATTACAGGATAGACAGAAATGCTGGTACAAATGGAAAGAACAACAACACATGGCAGAAGAAGCCCTGAAATCAAAATATCGTCATAACATCCTGGTTCACAAGTCCACAAGATCCATAACTGAATGCATTCAGAAAAAAGGGGAATGAAATTTCAGTTGTCTAAACATCTGTGGTGGACTTGTTTCCTGGCTTTTTATCTTACAATTTTTAAAATGTTCACTCAATTAGGAAAAGAATATTCACCGGAGCAAAAAAAGTACACGAGAACAGCAATGAGGACATTGTGCAATACAGAAATGCTAAGAACAGCTGTGCAGGCAATAGTGATTGGATTCCACAAGTAACTGAAATAACTAGAAAAATCAATATCTTGCGTAACTATCTTATCTATTGACCAGTTACAACTGAAAAAGATTTCCAGTAGACAGTTACGTTACTTAATCATGTAAGCCCTCAATAAAGTTCCCAACGATTTACCGCCTCATCGTGGCTAGTAGGTGTTCCTGGATTTCGGGTTGCGATATACAGCGGGTGGATTAACCCCTCCTCCCCTTCCCCTCACCTCTCAGCAGGATCTCCTAAGCTGAGGAGTTTGCCATTTTCATCAGAAAGCCTAGCTAAGAGCAAACCAATACAAGGGTCCACCACCGCCCTGGTATCAAAGTCGCATGGCGGTAAATCTCCTTTTGATTCACAGAGGCTGCGACCGCCTGTGGTAGTGAGAACCTGGAAAGCAGAATGTGGCCACGTTGTTCTCGGGACTCCAGGGAAACACGATGGCTAAACTGGCAAAATTCCGATAAATGGAGAATGTGCTGGAGCTCGCACAACCAGTGAAGATGGGCCATCCAAGTAAGTTTGTCTTCAACGGGCGCAATTATGTATGCTTATCTTGCAGGAGAACCTACAGAACTAAATTCGCAGGAGGGTAAACTCACCATTTGAATACCAGTCCTGAGATATACTTCGGCTGAATACTTCCACCATTCTTTGCGTAGTATGCAGCACTAATGGATAGCAGTGTAGCTGTTAAACAGTCGAGACCGGTAAACAGTGCGAATACGGTTCCACTGCTGGCGTCAATAAGTGAACATACACGTAACAAAAGTGGCTGCTTAATGTGAAAGGTTGAGAACGTAGACTTATTCGCAATACTTGATCCTACCACAATAGTCAGAAACCAAATGCCAAATTCGAAAATAGGTAAAAGGATGGTACCCACATAAACATAAAACTGGTACAAGTGAGATATGCGTGACGCAAAAAGAGATCTGTGTCTTGATCAGGCCCTTACTGAATTTAGTGCTAGAGGAATAACTGGTGTAGAGCTATAAATGCTTAAACCAAACGAAGTAAGAAAAATCTGGCTAAAAGCTAATGTTCTCTAGCTAAGATAAAGAATGCAAATTACGTAAGCACAATGCGTGCATTGAGTATAGGTAGATCTATACAGAAAACACTAACGAAGTGGAACAGATCTCCATCATACGGCGACATATTGTCCTTGAACATAGCAACGCCGTCCTGAAGTCGACGATAAGATACCAATGGTGAAGACAATTCAGGACGTTTCACAAGAAACGAACGGCCGTAGAGAAAACATAGAACTCGCAAGACGATACCCACTACAAGCCTAAAATGGAAAACCTAAATCAGTACTTAAAACATTCAAGTATTACTTTCAAAGCCAAATTTGAATAAAGAAGTTAAGAATCTTTAGGTTAATAACGACTCACTATTTTCAAATAACATTTTTGACTTTCCAAGAGCACAGCAATTTAGTTCGACTAACGACACAACCCATAAGAGATATAAGCTCAGAGAGTACACCCCTATCACTGTCTTAAAAATACGCACTCACATTTGTGATCCACTAATTGGTTGACGGTATGGAAAAAATATTTAACTTGGATAATAACTTGAAGAAACCATCCAAAGAGAACCATAGGTAAACCATGTTTTTATCACATCAAATGAGAGAACTTGGAGAGATGAAGACCTTTGTAGGTTCTTTAGCGAGAGTCGAACCACAGATGGCCTACTTCGAGTCAGCGCACTCTCGTCCCCTACATAAAAAAGAACATTCAAAGACTCTATTTGCGTAGTACTAACTTCGCCTTTAATTCCCAATATGCATAGAAAAATTTTAAGAAATAATGCCAAGACTTGTAGAGGCAGATTTTGACAAAACCCCATATTTCACTACTGGTGGTGCATTCCCAGCTGGAGCGCATATGGGAGAAGGTAGAAACAAGAAGACATGACGCACTTATCTTGATATGTAGGTGGACTCATGACATAGACTCCGTTCCTACTGCGTCAAACTAAAGTTGTTGTTCCGTACAAAGTTAACGATATTCGTAAATAGAACAACTTAAGATTAAGTGTGATTGATCACAGATCTATAAAAGCTCGAAAAGCTTTTATAAAACCATTCACATCTCTTTGTCTATATATAAAGATACTGGTATATACATATATATATACATATATATATATATACATATATATATACATATATATATATACATATATATATATATCACACAAAACGCTTTAAAGTACAGCGACAGCATAAAACACGCCACATCGACTTAAACAGAAATCTTCACTTTGTCAAATCTGAAGCGACCATTAGTTTTAAGTCATAAGAATATTCCTAATCATTGCAACTGTTCATAAAGAGAAATCATTTATTAAAGACCATTTTACGTTCAATGAAGTTGGTATTTTCGAATGCATCAGAAATATATACATAGGTTGGGGAAATCAACATAAATACGTAGCTTCAGATCAGAGCAACGGAAATGAGCTGATAGCGGACTTCAGAAGAGACATGGAGTGAGAATATAAAATACACCATCTTCGTACACCCGTTCGACAACAGTATTCTTTCAACTCCATAACAGACTTTAGAAAGCTGGACGTTACACAAAAAGAATGGACAAGCGGCCAGAATTCTTGGACACGCTACCGATAGGGTGAAACTGAAGCCGATACCACCTTGTCATGAAGTAATCTAAAATCCTGATCTATATCGACGATCAAAGATAATCGACACTCCTAATGCTAGCTCACACCTCTATGGGAATTGTTTCCTTTTGTGAAGAATTGGTCAGTTGACCAAACACTTTCAAAAACACCTTGAAGGAAAATGCGTTGCTAATGCACCTTGAACAAGCTGAACCTACAGGGAATCTTTGAATTTTTGAGTTATAGCTCCATATGTTATTCTTTCACTTTATTTCCTACTACTCACTTCGACTGTGTTGTATTTTGTTTCCAATTATATCTTGAAGATGATAATAAGACTTAAGACAGTGAAGGCTTGCTCTCTAAATATCGCTTCATTTTTCTTTTCAAGACATGAATCGAGTGATGGAAATTGTTTTAAATGGCGCTTGATTGATGCTAAAACAAGATATTTGTCTAAATACAGATTAATATAGAATGCTGGAACTAAACATAATTTGCTTCATGTTTTATATTTGTCATTTAAACCCTGAAAATTCCAGAACAACCTACGCAAACGAAGTGTTTCGATCGCTTTCGTTCTTCGTGCTATGCACTTCCTGTGTCTCCATACCCATTTTCTCTTCGAATCCATTCCGCCCTCTACCCATTTACGTTTAGACCTCTTGCTACTAAATTATCATGTAAAGAAGTTAGCCCTAAAAATACTTGTTCCAGATAAAAACCGTTATTGCATTCAATTTCCTCAAAGAAAAGACGGTCTACCTGAAGCCACATTCGTGAACTCCTCAATCGTTTAATCTACCCACGTCGATGGTCTACATAAAGTAATAACGAAACGCTGAGCTCTCATGCTAGGATAACTCGGTGCCCAGACTAAAATATAATCACCTTCAAGTTTTCGTAACTCCAATGATCAGTAACCAGTAATCGTCCTCTCCTTTCCTCACAGTCAATCGTCCATTTATTCTCCACACTCAGCTAGGAACAATTACTTCGCATCAAGGAGAATGTCAAATTTTCTAATACTTCTTCCTGAAAAAAAAATAATTACGCCAATTAAATGTAGTCGTGGGAAGCTCCCAATACAAATGTTTCACTGGTTACCAGGACGAAAATCTTCAAACAGAATTCTTGCTAACTCTACCCAAAGGGCTTTAGTGCATAAGACGAAAAAGTCCTTGAGCTCGGCCATTAATCTATTAATCCAATCCAAAGAGGTTTCCGTGAAGATAGGACATTGATATACAAGTCAAAAGCATAAGACACTTCATTCATCATGATGTCATATTAAGAACAGTATTGAAAAAATCGTGGAACACGATACCAAGAACATTTAACATGAGGTTGCGTGGATATTGCATGTTCCACACAATTTCGTGAGTTTAGCCGTAGAAATCAAGGGACGAGAAGCGCAGTGGTAGTGATGGCGGTCACAGTGCTGATTCGACACCACACCGAGCTCTCCAAACCACTTATCCTTCCGGGTTTGAGAAATTGGTACCAGGTTGGTCCGGGAAACGTTCACTCTCTGCACTTTAAATGGGAACACTCTATACCGGCTATCTCAGGACTCCAAGGAGGATCAACACGATTTGCATTCAACCACACTCCCTACGAAAGGAAGATCCTCAAGCAGCAGCTCAATCCACCAATTGATAGTTTAAAGACCTTCATAGTTGACGAATGCGAGGAAACGAACCGAATGGAAGAAATCCTAGGACATGAACACTAGATGTGAAAACATGTCGCGTGATCGAACCGAAAACAAATATTAGTTAACAACTACTGCTTCCTTCAGGGTGACACTTTCGCAGGCAAACGACATTGCTGTGAAATAAACGTTGTGAGTGTTGAGATTTTATCGTAATCTACCCAGAAAGTACTATTTCTTATAATAAAAGTATTGCATTCTTTGATACTAATTACTACATTTCCAATCCGGTGCGGAATCCATAACCTCAACAATATTCGCCTATAATCCTTGCAATCATCAGGAAATCTGAACAGGTAACAGTCCACATTCATCTACAGCGCGCCAGAACCATCCAACTGAAGATGAAAATTGCGGTGACTCTTCCACCTGCACGAGCGAGCATCTCACTTGTTACATAAATTTCTTTTACATACATATTTTCTATACACATGGTACTTTATATAGAAGTCTCTTCATATATAAAGTACCTACAACATTGGCGAGTAGGTGCTTGCGGCACATGTTTTGCTGCGGCCTGCTTGGTTATGTAACCCTCCAACTTAATCCTTTGTCTGATCATAAGGTCGAAGAAACTAGTTGCCTTACCTATGTAGAATTTCCCATTTTCGTATGAAACGAACAAGTTGGTTCTTAGAAAGATAAACAAAGTTCTAAAGCCTTCCATAACGCTAAGTGTACGTATAAGCAGTAAAATATTTTCATATGACTGTACAAACGTCATTTCTTTTAGCATTGGAAAATACTTAGAACCCTTCATACTACCGCTTAAAGATGTAGAACAGCAAACTCTAAGACCGATAGCGATGTGTATAGAACAGAATAACCATTCTTTTAAAGCAAGAAACTATCTCTTCTGTAGCCTTTATTGACCAGTACATGTTATAAGCACTATCAGTAACCATATAGTCAAAAAGGATAACGGAGATCGAGAGATTTAGTCTTCAGTTATCTCAAACTTTGATTGTCTACGATTTCGTAGAAGTGTAAGTACAATTCAAAATAGAAAACGATAGGAATAAAGATGCATACGATATACAATAATACTAGCAACAAATTTAATAGTGAGTAGTTTTACAAAGGAACCAAAGAACTACTGTAAATGTGATACTCTAGTCCACTAGTACGCAGACAAACACCAATGGTGTAAAGATCTACAACAAAACGAGAATGGCAAAAATCAACGGCTTCAGGTGGAATGTCGCACGGAATTAGGAGAGACTGTGATAGGAAATGTATTCAAAACCGGAGGAAACAGTGCACAAGTCTTCAAGTTGCCAATATATCATCCAATTTCTAGCTCATGGATTACACAAAGTGAGGAAGTGATGACACAGCTGGAGCAATTTCCATGGAAAAAAGCTGAAATTTCCAGTAGTAATTCCAATCAGAACAACTTTTCAGCTTCTAAAGTTCGCAAAACTGATTTTAAAATGGGGATTCGGTGTAATTTTGCTGTATAATAACCCCTTCTCTACCAAATTCTGTAAACGTCACGGAGACTGAGTTAAATAACATCAAGTAAATCCATAAAAGTCCACCTGGCCGAAATTTAACGGACCATTTTTATCTGGAGGAGAAAAGTAAAATAGCAACAAAAACTGAGCAACGACTACGCGTCTACTACTTTACCATGAAACTAACGATTGCTTCTAAATGTACGGTCTCAGTAAACACTTGGTGAAGAATGTCACCTTACTGACTACATTTTGTTAATTATATCTCTCTCAAACCGATTTACATTTTATCTCCATAGCACGAAGATCCTCTTAAGGCGCTTTATTTCACAAGAGAAAATCTTGACCAGAAAAACTTTCATATGTATACAACACCTACCATAAAACTTAGACGTCTTCACCGGAATCCCTTTCGAAACGACTACGCTTCAATTTATCAAAGAAAGACGTAACGTGTTCCGAAGTAATGACGTCGACCCCTTCTTCAACTTTCTCACGAATGAAATCTTGCAGACCTCTTTTAAGATCGTTGAAGCCTGTAGATAAAAAATAGTTATTTTTTGGAACTAACGAGACATTTGCAAGCCTACCTCTAAGGAATTCAATAGCAACATCCCTTCCAGCTTTTTGCACAAGGTCGTTAACAAGAGCATTGTCGTCAGGCTCTTTCACATCTTTTGTTTTCTCAATATTTTCCTTCATAAATGCGTCAACATCGTCCTCGGCGTCAATTAAAAATTCACAACCTGATCGCGCATAAAGATCCTGAAAAGTATATTTTCCAACCAGCAGTCCCCTACTTTTTTCTTTTTGAAAATCTTTCACCGTCAAAACAGCGATGGTTACAATAACTCACTCCTTCCATCAACTTCAAAGAATTACTTACCAAACAATTTCGGCATCGACACAAACGCTCACGAAACTCATATGAGAGAAGAAAAGGACCCTCTTTGGCATCTTCTACTGTCGACAGACATACGACACCATTGTCGGCCTCGCTTACACTTACACGCCATAGGAATGGAAGACGAGAAGAGCAGATCTTGCATAACTGGAGAACAAAAACAACTCGAATTATGCCCGATATGACATCAGTAAAAAACGCTAGAAAATTTCAACCAACAAGTATATAATCATTCTTTCCGGACTGTTCCAGTTGTTCAGCTAGCAAAGCACATTTTTCATCCAGGTGCTAAAAGCAAACCTTTTGCGAAACAGGTTAAGTGAAAAGTAAGAACTAACAAGTGATTCATGTGAACATAAAAAATAATTGACAAATAGATCACTTTGCCACCTGAAATCTCTTTAAAACATGTTACACAAAAATACATGTTAGCGGACCATGTTCGTTCAAAGGGCTCAGAAGACACTTTTCTATAAGACGCTTTATTTATATTGCTCGTAATGAAAGGTTATAGGTATACAACTTCTGGTATGTTATAATCATTCACGGTTTTGCCGAACTCTCCACGAGTAGACGTAGGAGTTACTTCTTGGTGTACTAAACAGGACGCACATATATATACATGTATATGCGTTACGCAGCATATATGCACACGTATACATGTATATGCGTATATATATGTACGTGCACATGTATATATACATATATATGTTTGAGTAAATATGTCAAAAGAAATCAAATTCGCACAGTGAAGATAGAGTCCCTCAACAAAATCCAGCTGGCGCATCCTATATTTCGTCACTCCTAGTGAATTTTTACATTTTATACGACCCATCTCTCACATCTACTGTGTGGATCCCAGTTCTTCTCATATTCGATTCCATTCCTTGCATCTACCATCCACGAGGATCTTCCAACTTCTACGCGTGGTTTCGGCTGCTGCTTAAGGACTTTGCTTCCATGTTGAATGTCGTTCAATGCTGGTCGTATCCAATCTCCCTGGAATCCTACAACAGCTGGGCTAGCGCGCTACCTTTTCGATTACAGAGAGCGAATTTCTCCAGAACAAGTCCGGTGATAGCAACTTCTCGATGCTGGAGGGATGATAGGCTTGCTGAATCCGGTGCGGGATCGAACCAGCACCGTGCTCATGATGATCGGCATCACAATTACTTTGCTATTCGCCCTCATTTTTGGTGATCATGGAACTCGAAAGCTGTACTTTAATAGTAAAGAAAAGCTATGAGAACATCACTTCTAATTTTTTCAAACCTAAAAAAAGAATTTTGGAAACCTTGTAATTTACAACTCACAGATAAATGAAACCAGTCCTCGCAAACTACACACTGATGCATAATTTCCTCAATCTCACTTGGGTATGGCTTCTTACACACGCAAAACAATCCGGCAAAATTCTGATTGTATGTGTTTTCCGTATTTGAAGAACTTTTTTCCTTAATAAAGAAAACATTTGAAGAAATGAACAGAAACGAACCAACTGGACTGTAGGTAAAAAGAGTAATAGTTGGAATATGAATGTGTCGTTTTCTTGTTCAGCAATCGCGAGGTTTTTAAACAGCATACATTTACTTCCATAAAAACACAATACAATACATCGCTAGCTGACGTTTCGGCAGTATCGTCTTCTTCAGAGCCGCTTTTTCGTGACTTCCAATGAGGAAGTTTAGNCTAAACTTCCTCATTGGAAGTCACGAAAAAGCGGCTCTGAAGAAGGCGATACTGCCGAAACGTCAGCTAGTGTTGTATTGTATTGTGTTTCTCTATGGAAGTAAATGTATGCTGTTTAAAAACCTCGCGATTGCTGAACAAGAAAACGACACATTCATATTCCAATGCCGATGTTAAGAGAAAGTCGATCCTGGGAACTATTACAAGATGTACCAGTAATAGTTGGCTCAATTTCATCGAAGCGAATAAATCGAGGAGAACTACGCATTAGAACTAGCACTTACCTCGAACAAAGTGCATTTCCGTTCAAATTTGCTATTTCCACAATCACACCTAAAATCGAAAGCTGGTGAATGAGACAAGCGGATCCAGTGTTTGTTCTCTATCATACCTGAAACGTCGTTTCGTATACAACTCGATGATATTGTGACCGTCGTGGCAATGCACCGAGCATCCCAAACAGATTCCAGCATCGTTCACCTGTGGTTCACCAGCGCATGTAAGACATGCGAAGACTGCTTGCCGTGGTTTATAACCCTGCAACCACAATGACGCTGAGATATTTGGAAAACCCCGGATCACAGGTGTCCAAGGTGGGAGTGGAACACGCTACTAGTCTTTACAGAAGCTAACGCGTTCACCACCATACCATGCACGTCCTTCTTTCAACTAATTTTCTGTCCTTCAGTACTATCAGAAAAGTTATAATGGGTAGCAAGTAGAAAATTAACATTACAGCCCTATAGTTAACTATTAAAATACTGCACGTCTATGAAAAACAAATTTAACAAGCCAAGGAGGATTCGTTGACTTTACCTTAAAGTAAAGCATAAAGGACAAAACTCTCAGCGTTGATCAATCCGAGGGATGTGCCATGCATTCGACTTCATTAAGTATCGTTGGAGGTGAATGAATGCATGTCTGGCCTTTACAATGACTTGCAGTTGCCTACTGATGTATCCGGTCAGTGCTGCTATCCTCCCAGAGAAGTCTGGTACCAATTTGCCGACCCTGGAGAGATGGAAGGCATGGTGAGCCATGGGCGCAAGGATCGATTCCACGTGTGTGTCGCAGTGGAGTCCCCAACCACCGCGTCACACACGACCTTACCTTAAGACCTTAAAATGTCATACAAGAACTCTTTGGTAAAGAATTTTGATGGGCAACTTGCAATCCGACGAACTCCATGACTAAACCAGACAGAATAAAATCCTAGAAACTACAATCAACCGTTAGACTGTGTATACGCTATTGTTCAAACCATACCCACCTTTTCCAAACTGCTAAAGTAGTCCATTTAAAAGTAGATGTCTAACGGAATACAAAGGCAACAGTTAATCTCCACTACTTTCTGAATTGGCTTGACTGTTGTTGCCTCGGAATAAAGCGAACCAACCAAAAAAATTACAGGCAACAGGAGACTATCTAAAATCTGGGCAGTGGTTGCTGACAAAGTTAACATAGCTTAAAGGATGGAGCCAAATGAGGACCAACGTCTAGTATCATGTAAAACGAAGTACCTTAGTTGTGGATTTACCTGGTGCCCAAAAAACCAAAAACGTCACCCCCACAAGACACATAGTAACCATTTAAACGTTGTCCTAGTTTTTCACAATTATTGAGACCTATTAAATCAGCTAGTGTGCGTGTCGTGCAGTGTGGTCGAAGGCGCCCTGCAACCCGCACGTGGAATCGATCCCCGCGCTCATGGCCGACCAGGTCTACCATTCCTCCAGGGTCAGCAAATTGGTACCAGACTTCTTTGGGAGGATAGCAGCACTGGCTTGATACATCGGTAAGCCACCGCGAGTCATTGAGGCCAGATATGCATTCAATCACCTCCAAAACGATGCTTGATGAAGTCTAATGCATGGCGAATCCCTCAGAGATTGCCCAACGCCGACAGCTTTATCCTTTTTTAATTAGATCAGCCAGGGAAAAGTATCTGTAAAAGTGGAAGCCGTCTCTAGTATTTATTGAATTACCAGCCATTAGATCCGTCTTGAACAGCATAGTAAATTAAAACGATGGAGAAACAAAATAGATAAACCTATGATGGAGATTCGGAGACCTATGTACTTATTCAACATCTACCTTCCCTAAACTCTATATTTACAAGTTAGACTCGGTGAAATAATTTACATTGAAATACAACCACAATGATGCTGAGATATTTGCAAAATTCCGGGCCTCAGGTGTCTGTGGTGGGGATGGAACCCATCATTACCCTTTCCGAGGGCTAACGCGTTCCTCATCACACCATGCGGATCCTTCGTTTTTCTCAGCTAGTTTTCTATCTAACAGTGCCATCAGCAATCACCCACTGGCGGGATTGATATATGGTGACAAAATCGGCACTGAACACAATTAAGCTCAGGCTGTAGTCGAAATCACAACGTTAACTTTTTATTTACTGCATACTTCAATTTTCCACAGTATCGGTACTTAACTGTACTGTACAAGAACAATAGTTCTTTGAAGGTACAACGCAAATTTCAACCTATGAGACAACAAAACAACGTTAAATTGGAAACTTACTTCCGGATATGTGCACACTGCAGGATCTTGGGCACCATAAAGCACTCGGGCACATTCTCGAGAATATTCTTCATTATCCAGGATGTCTTGAATAGTCACCAAATCTTCAGTTTCTTCCTCCTTTTCGTTAGAAGGACCTTCTTAAACGAAAAAGAATGATCATTTTGACATACAGTCCAGAAACTACGGAAATTGACGCACTCCGGCTGGATTCCTTTTTGTTCTCATCCAGTTTCGAAGGCTCAGAAACACTCTGTTGAACATCTTTCTTCTTATTTGATTCCATCTCATTCAACAAGTCATCATTTGGATCTGCCATCTAAAGTAGAGCATTTGAAATCAACATTTCGCGCCAATGCCAGATTCTGAAAGAAACAGGTTATTCGAAGTTGACCAAAAACTTAGAACCTGAGCAACTGCTAATCAATATAAGGCTCGTCACGTTAGAACGAGTACTTTAAGCAAAAGCAAACACTACAAACAACGTTGCTAAGGCTATAGATCAACACGACAAACAATCCAATGCCATTTCGCTGCGTACGCAGGTCGCTTGCCTGAGTATGAGCACACTAACAACGCAGCCACTGGAGCTGCAAAGAAATGGGAGTTTTGGGCAAATTTCAGAGTTTTCTGGATACACATCCATAGTTTTTCTTCTTATTGATCGCTGCTGGTAACTATTGCCTGTCGCACATCTTATGTTAACAGATCACTGCTCGTTTGGTAGTCAGTTCGCCCTACCTTCGTCTTTTTCTATCTTCTCCTATCGCTTCTTTAACTCTTCTTCTTAAACGCTTAGGAAATTAGTCAGGCTTATTGAATATTGGGCCACATTATCACCTGTTTAACTTTAGATCTCAGTGCTCGTTGGCGAACGAGGGCAGAAATCAACTGGTGTAACGGCACTTCATTTTTCGTTTTGAATCTTTTGGAGAGTACTGAAGGATATGGAAGTATGACTGCAGTTCGGTAGCCCATTTCTCGTGAGCTTGGCTATTCGTAAACATACTCAGGAACTCCATATTCTCGCTCTTACGTGACCCAAGGCGCGTGTAGCGCAGCAGTCGGATGCTGGATGCAATACAAATTGGTTCGATCCTCGCGCCCATGGCTCACCAAGTCTTCCAACCCTGTGGCGTCGGCAACCTCCAACGTTACTTAATGAAGTCCAGTGCATGGCTCATCCCTCAGGAATTGATCAACACCGAGAACTCTTGTTCTTTCACCCTTTTGCGTGACTCAGAATACTGCTAGCATTACTCTGTCCATCATGGTTCCGATAACGCTGACATCAACTCTATGACGCTGACACCAACTCCATCTTATTTGCGTGACATCGATGTTTCCAAGGAAGAGGTTTAGGTTAAGTCGGGAAGAGCCGTAATGTTCAATAGAGAGCAGTGCCGAGTATGTTTTGTAACCCTCTTAGCATGTTTCTTAAGCTTTCTAAGTCACAGAAGTATTGCAAGGCACCTCTAAGCACTGCGCTAGGCGCGTACGTGAACAGAAACAACTGCGAATTTGAAACTAACCATTTCATCGAATATGAATGAAACATAAAGAACTCATCAGTATCACTTTTTATATTCGACCGAAGATTTCCTTCTGCAATCAGCACATGTACGACGAATCTGGGTACTGTGTTGTGGACGATATTATCGTATACGATGGAGGTTCTGGCAGGTGACCTTCTCTTCCATGTAAACTACTGTAATTCGATATTTTCTTCATAAGCACATAGGAGATTATTATTATACATTATTTATTCACAACAGCTAACGTTTCGGCGGATTTCGCTTCCTTAAGAGCCTGGAAAGTTCAAGTTAACTGTGTCCTAGTCAGCCAAACACCTTATTACCCTAACAGAGAAATCATAATTTAGATTTCAGTCGCGTTGCAAATAAAACAAGTTTTTCACACCTCGAAATCTAAGTATCGTGGTTTTTCTGTTGGGATTATGGAGGTGTTTGGCTTACTAGGTTGCAGTTAACTTTACTGTTCCAGGCCCTGAAGAAGGAGAAATGTTCCGAAATGTCAGCTGTGCTGAATAAATAGTATATACTTATAATCTCATGTGTGTGTATCAAGAAAATAGCGAGCTATTTATCAATGCCTCCCAATGGTTTACCGCCTCGTCGCGGCTGGGAGCTGTTCCTGGCTGTGGGGCTGGATATACAGGAGGGGATTCACCCCACTCCAGGGTTTCCCAACTTTGGAAGGAGTTCGGCTTTTCAATCAGAAAGCCCAGCTAAGAATAAACCAATACCGGGATCCACCATCGTCCTGGTATGAAACTACTCGCATGGTGGTAAATCTCTTTCCGATCCACAAGGGCGGCAACTGCTTGTAATGGTGACAACCTGGGACAGACTTTGACCAGGCTGACCTCGGAACTCCAGGGAACACCACGATAGCTAAACCATCAAGGTTCCGAAATAATGTAGATCATTGAGATCATTCTGTTGTCCGCACAACCAGAGAGGACGGACCATCTAAATATCCAAGTAAGTATTTATCGATGCGAAGGTTGTTATAAATTCAGTCTCGGGAACTCCATGTGACTCACGTTCAACGCGGCCGCATAATTTCCTTGTAGAGCGCATGTAGCACAGTGGTCGAAGGCGCCCTGCAGTACACTTGGGATCGATACTGCGCGCATGTTCCACCGAGCTCTCCGGAGGCGATAAATTGGTAGCAGACTTGTCTGAGAGGATAGCAGCACTGACTCGACACATCAGTAGGCGACCACAACTATTGTAAAGGCCAGATGTATATTCAGTTACCTCTGAGGATGTTTAGTAAAGTCGAATGCATGGCGCATCTCTCAGTGATTGATCAACGCCGAGAGCTTAATTCTTTTATCCTTTTTTATTAGAGTCGATCAGCTATCATTTTGATGGTGATAGTGGTTTCTTAGTTCGCCTTAAGTAGCTAAAATTTCCATGATCAGTTCCGTTTCAAAAGAGACGAAGATTTTTTAAGTCGGTAAATATTATACCGAGAAGACCATGCGAATTAGGCGACAGCTGCCAATGTCATGTAGGTTTTCGTTCTCCTGAAGCAACATTTCTCGCCAGTATTTCTTTGCGTAGGAGCTATAAATTCTGAGTGGTAACATTTCAAAAGACGGTATACTGTGTTAATGAGGACTAGCGTTCTGGACGTATTCAAGCCTGGTTCCGTCGGACTGAGGAGCTTTGTGGTTTTTCATCGTCGAAAAGTATGTCGTACTTCGAAAGGGATAACTATCGTATTTGGTATGGATTAAATCAGGGTAATCGTGGTTGGAGAGATTGAGATAGAACTGGTTGGCGATCCTCCGCATAGCTCTTCCGGGTGCAATGGATGGTCGGTCTGGACGACGAAAAGTGATTGTTCTGGTGTTCTTGGATTCGACGAAACTGCAGTGGAGGTGATAAGCTCATTCTAACCTGCGCATATTCAACCAGTGCTGCTGTTTTTTTCTTTCTTTAAAGTCTTCATTATCGCATCTCTGTGAAGTCTTACGAGTAA